TTTGTTATCAATCTTTAATCTCAATATATTTTTAATATTGAAGATCGCATGGAACAGCTTTACATTTTGTGCCAAGTTTATGGGTTGCAATTTGTTATTGGGGGTGCTTACATTTCGCCTCAAATGACTCGAATCTTGTATCCAACACTGCTACTCCGTTGAAAATATGGTCAAGCTTTTCCCTCAGTTAATATCCATATATTTGTTGACTACAATTTACAATAATTGATGGTCTAATGATGAATATGGTGTATTGTTTCTGGTTGAATGTTGTTTAACAACCCATAGTTAATAGATCGCCACTCTGAATTCTGCATTGTCTTGTGGTTGCCTTGAATTATTTTCAGTTGATGTTAACTTCCTTATAGATTGCTCTGAATTCTTTCTCTCACTTGAGATTTTCTATATATTTATTATTTAAGTGGTTTCGTTTTTTTTTCCTTTTGCGTATCCTCTTTTCTTCTCTTCTGTTTTTCTGGTAATTCTCTACAGTTGTTCTAGTTTCAGTTGTTCAATCATACATTTTGATTCGTTAGCCTGTTAATGATGTTTTCCGAGTACCATTCTGCAATTGTCACATCTCTCAGCTTTTGCATATTCCATTTTTTTCTATCCATTTAACGACTATAGGGAAAAAACCAGATATGTCAAAATTTCATAAAACCGAGAAAAACGCATAAACTTCAAAACCATAATGTGTCTTACGTTGAAACGTATAAAAAAACTCGGGAGTCAAAATTGCTCCATAAAAACACATGAACGGCATTGTACTGTTTTTATTCAGAAAAATGTGTTACACTCTTTCTAAATTCAGAAAATTCTTGTCAACCGCAATTTGTCCATTGAAAGAACCAGCTTAAAAAAATAGTCATCTGAAACAGAAAATTGTCAATGCTTTTAATAATAAAAATAGGTTTCATTTGGATTAGTATTTCTATTGCAAATGATCTTCTTCTTCTAGTTCCATGACCGTTATCGATCGTTGGATATCATGTTGGCTACCATATTCGCTATCGTGACTTTATTGACAGCAGCTCTAAATAACGATGTAGTTGAGTTTCCATACCATTACCTTAGATTTTTCAGCCATGATGTTCTTCTTCTACCAGGACCACGATTACCTTGGATCTTTCCCTGAATGATCAGATGTAAAAGATCATATTTTTCAGGGTGTCCCATAATATGACCGAAGTATTCCAGCTTGCGTTTCTTTATTATATTGACCAGTTGTGTTGTTTGGTTCAGCCGTCTAAGGACCTCCTCATTTCTAACTGTCGACCCAGCTTATTTTCAGTAGTCGTCTGTATACCCACATCTCAAAGGCTGTCAAGCGTTTAAGCATAGCCTCAGTTAGGGTCCACGCTTCTACTCCATACAGCAGGACAGGAAAGATGTAGCAAGATATCATACGAACTCTAAGGTCAATGCTAAGATCATGACTGCAAAGTACGTTTCTCATTTTTACAAAGGCAGCTCGGGCTTGTTCTATTCGGCTTTTAATATCTGCGGTTGGATCCCAGCTCTCATTGACATTACTGCCGAGATACACGAGTTTCTCTACTCTGTCCAGTGTGGCATCTCCGACTATTATACCGTCATCATGTATATAATTTTGTTTGCTAACTATCATATATTTAGTTTTCTTAACGTTGAGTTTTAATCCATACTGATCATAAGTCTGTTTTATTTTGTTCATTAGATTTTGAAGGTCTTCTCCGCAATTGGTAAGGACTAAGGTATCGTCGGCATATCTAATATTGTTGACGGTTACTCCATTCACAATAATACCTTCGGTTGTCTCCATTAAGGCTTCCTTAAATATTTCCTCCGAATATAAGTTAAAAAGTAAAGGCGACAATATACAGCCTTGTCTCATTGCGAATGATAGGTAATAATAAATATAGTAAAACCTGTCAATAACCGTCACTAAAAATAACAGAACTATGGCCGATATTAAAAATGGCCGATTTAAAAAGATGGCCCTAATACCAGGTTTTGTAGTCCACAAATTTTAGTTTGGGGAACTTTGAAACTGGCCGATAACACAGGTTTTACTGTAACATGGCTCATTAAAGATCCCTACCCATGGTTGGAACACCAGGGCATTCGTCAAAATTTTCCGCTAGTGGAAGCGCTAGTCTTAATCGCAGAAGTAGATCGACGTTAAATAAACAAATAATAAAAAAGAATAATAATAATAATTTACCTGTTACGAGTGATTATAAGGTAAGACGGGGAAAAAGTCCACAGCTACAGGACCACAGAATCTCATAAGCCTCATTAAATCGCTGTGATTGGGTTTCGAAATTGCGAGGGGTCCTGAAACAACATACAGGGAATATTATAATTTATTGTGATACCTTACTTGAGTAGGCTGGCAATGGTAATTCAAATTCTCCATTCTTCAACTCCGTAGTTGTTGAGGCCATTCGTTTCTTCAAGATGCTTGACAAGAATGGTCCATTGTAAGAAAATCGATGATTTATGAGTCGAATGTCGTCTGATGTGGCAACAACCTCTTTCAAAACCTGAGTTTTGAAAGAGTATTTTGGAACATACTTCTTGTCCAAAAATGATTTCCAGTTAAAAACTATCTTTCGTGATACTTTCAGGACGATGAATGAAGACGGCTTTACGCGGGACGCCTTGATGATGTCTCTAAACTCTTTTGGTACTTCAAAAGGTGTTTTTAGATTCCACAGTCCAACGTTCTTGTCACATTCATTAAGTATCAATGTCCACGGATGGGATATGCAATGTAGGAATCGGAATATTGAAAATGTTTGTTTTGTCTTCCAGCTGAGCCACAAAAAATTTTTAATTCTCAACCTTATCATCCAAAAAGTTATTCTTCTTCTTCTTCAAGTTCCACTCCTATCGGAGATTGGAAATCATTCTGGCAATTATAATTTTATTTGTTACTCGCCTCAATAGTTCAATTGAACTGCATCCAAACCATTCTCGGAGATTGAAAAAGTTATTAATAAAATGTAATAAAAACGATGCCACCTAATTGGAACCTTTTTTGGCAATTCCCTGGTGGTAAGAGTAAAAAATTGATTGACCAGACGACAAGATGAGAACATTAAAAGCGTACATTGATAGCTGGCGCTTAGTACACGTCGTTTGTAAAAATATTTGGGATTGGTAGATTCTTTACAAAATCAATACAAATTGCTTCCATTTTTTTCGTTCTTCTTGCTTCTCTTTTTCATGAATAGAATGTCTCAGCCTTTTGTTAATTAAGTTGGGTCAATGTGGGTAACTGTTTTATTTTATCTACGTCCGTCACAGAATGTAAGACGTTCAGCTGTGCCTGGAATTTGACCCATATTGCACAAGTATCGGTGCGCGGATACCCGAAAGATATGTTAAACTCCTGTACAAAAATACACCTGTACGTTTCGTACGATACGTGAACATTTGGATTTTTTTCTTGAAATAGAGAATACATTTTTTTACATTCAGTTGTGAAGGCAGGTAAATTTTTTTCGTTTTTTTAATACTATAATGGCTTTGTCGACCCTTGAAACTTTCGATGTGATCCCGTATCAATTGTTTTGTGGCATCTGGCAACTTCCTGTGTCCGGAACTATGCTTTCCCCTACCACCTATTGGGGCTTCTCCAGTTTCTGTAAGGGAGTGTTTGATATACGTTAATGTGTTTTTCGTTATTCCATGTAATGAACAAAATGCCTTCAAACAAACTGGGATAAGCAAAACTAGCAGTATGAAAACGAGCAGTATTTTCATCTGTCGTGGTCTCTTTGCCTTAAGGAAGTACTGTGATCAATCCAACAAGAAACGATTTATGTTCGTTATGAGAAGGAAGTGCGTTGAATGACTGAAGGATTTTCTTTCTTTGTTCTTCACTTACTACATCGAAACACTTATATCGTGAACAGTGACAATATTCCACAGCCTCATGAGTTGATAACTTCAGTTTTTTTACTCACTTTACTTATCCACCCGGTTTTCTTCCTTTTTTTTTGGAAGTAGCGTTGCAACTACTTCATTCTCTGAGTGAGAACTCGACATAATTCGTTTTAATGTTAGTCACTACAAACGGCCAAAAGCACAAACACACGGTGTGGATAACACGACTGGAGGCAGTGATCTGTATTCGTCAGCGGTAGCCCACTAGCCCTACTCTCCATTTTCCCTTTCCAAATTCGATACGTTGATCACATATTGCCGCGTGTAAGAGAGAAGAAATAACCGTTTAAGAAATGCGAACTTTTTCTACCTGCTTGTTTATATTTTTACAAGAAACAAAACGAGTCTTTCTATTGTGTTATGTTATATCAATGCACGAATGTCTTGTTGACCATTTGATCATTCAGAAAAATAGTAATATTCGTTATTCACAAATGTTTACAAAAAAACTTTCTATTATTGAAACACGCATTGTTTAATAATAATTTTAATTTTTTCCAACGATATCTACCGTGAAACTTGTGACATATCTGGTTCTTTCACTGGACGCATGGACAAAGCAGGTTTTTCCCCGGTACCCTAAAACTTTGAAGTGTTATTCCTCATGCTTTTCAGGGCGTACAGGGAAAAGACTACTTTTTGCCCTGTACGATAGCTCTAAAATGTGCTTCTCCGCGTGTTCTATAACATAGAATACAAATCTGAAATAAAAATGACCATGTCTGGTTTTTTCACTGTAGTCTTCATTTTATTTTCTTTACTGGTGTTTGAAATTCTAGCCCTCAATGTTGAGATCACTAGGCAATGATCTGTTATGTTCTGTTTATGTTATAAACGAGAACACTGAATATATTACTGTTAATAGTATAAGCAGAAATATAATATTATATTGTTACAGCACGTGATTCAAGTTACTTTTGGTTATTTTGGATGACTCATTATATTATTCGTTTTTAGGAACTTTTTTTACTGGAATCTTTTCTGCAATTTTTGCAACGTGCAAATGTTATATTAACATTATTATCGAAAAGGGAGGCATATTAATAGAAATAAAGAAAAACTTAAACGATTTGTACTTTATTTTTACTAAGTACTTGACATATAAATTTAATTTTAAATATGCCTGTTTTGTAGGAAAAAATTTCTAGGTACTTAATATTATGTATAAATTCCATAAATTACCAAAAAGCTTTAATTAAATAAAATTAATATGTATATAAATAACTTAAACAGCATACAAATCACTTTCATGCTTAAACTTAGGTGAAGGTCTAGCGAAAGGCGAAAACCACAATAACGAAAAACGTCCGAACACAGCCTGAATACTCTTCCATCGCGATTTCTTCACCCATCGAGCCTCTTCTTTTTTAAGTTGTTCAATTCCAGTCTCGTCATTCCATATTGCTTGCACTTGCGTACCGAGCATCACTGCTGTGAATATGGCAAATAGCAGCGCTTCGAACATAAGAAAAAGTAACAGTACCACTGTCGCGGGAGGTGAATATGTTGTACAATCTTTCCATTCGTGCCGAATACACGTTAGAAACTGATCGATGGCCAGAAAGAGCGAATGTAGTGATATGGTGGCGATATAAAGCTAAAATAAAAAGTCATATACAGTATATAGTTACAAAATGGAAATAAAAATACAAAAAAATAGGCCCGTATCTCAGCCGAAACTTAGAAACTATGTGGTAAATAAAATAATAATGCACTCAAATGTATTCGGTATCATTTAAAATATGGACATAGTTAAATTAAAGAGCCATATGTTAACAATCCCACGAGTGAAAAATATATTAAAATAATAATTGAACATTGAAGAAGGACATTGAACATAATTTAATTAATAGTAATTCATTTTTGAAAAAAATTTAATTTCATTTACTTATTTTGTAAATAAAATACGCTGCTTATTACGTATATGCTGCATGTTTTATATTAAATTAAAGCTTTTTTTTTTAATTTGATGATATAAGTTGCTTGAAAAAAAGAATAATCGAAAATTAGGGTGCCAGCTGTTGAAAACGCGAGGTATTAAAGGTAAAATACAAAACGCTACTGGTTTGAAGTGTCAGTTGGGTGAGTTTTTAAGGCATGCGTCAATAGATATATAATAATATACATATTATCACTTGTCAAACCAGTTTCGCTCCGCCCTAACTCTATTTTACTTTATCTTTGACACCACGCATTTTTAACAGCTGGCAACCATAATTTGCGACAATTTTTTCTCAGGCAACCTCATATTATCATATTAAGAAAAAAAATTGCTTTAGTTTTATATAAAAAACATACATATTATTATATGCCATGACCAGCGTATTTTATTTAACCCTACAATGCACAGCGATGTATATTTGCATCACCCTGTATTTTCGCTTCCACGGTATCCTGTAATAAATGTTAAGCTTAGAAGACGACTTCATTCAATTATGTACTAACCGTCCATCTGGCAAACAGACCTATAATATCGAGGACCGCACACTATTCAGTGTAAAGGGATTAGTTCACGTGGTTACACTATTTGTGCTTTTGTGGTGATTTATTTTGCTAATAATTTGTTAATTCTTACCAGGGTGAGTATAAAAAAATAACTAAGCTATTTATAACTTTAAATAAAATAGTGTTAGTTGATATAATAATTGAACATATTTACTTTTTTGTAATTAGAAAAATTACAATCGATTCATATTTGACTCACTGTGCTTTCGGATACATAATTGCACATAAAAAATACGAGTTGGATATCATTTTTTATTGCAGATGTCTCTTTTATATAAAGATGGACAAAAAACAAACCGGTTGGATTAGACAAGGATGGTTTACTTGATTTATTAGTAAACATACCTAGTGGTAGTGAAGATGAATTAGACGATTTTAGTGACGACGAGCATGAAACTGGACAGACAACAAATATACCTGTACCTATTTCTGCGAATCTGTTATATAGATACAGTCAAAATCGTTTATAACGAACTTCAGGCGACTGGTGCTTTTTGTACGTTGTAGCCAGTGTTCTCTGTAAGCATTTCTATCGGTTATAATGAATAGGTTGCTATAAACGATATTACACTAATAGGGACAGTTAGTTCGTTGTACCTAGGGTTATGACGCAAAAATGTGTTACTTTAACTATATTTATAATATGTTATAATAACATATACATAACATTTAACATATGTGTTTATTGTACTTAAGCAAATCTAAATATGTACATATCATGGACGTATAAATAAAGAACATTATATATATATATATATATATATTATATATATATATATAATATATATATATATATATATATATATTATATATATATATATATATATATATATATATATATATCTGTGGTGTTTGGGAGAAACATGATAACTCCAAAATTGCGAAATTTTTGTTAAGTCCTGCACTGCATTTTGTTTTTGATCTATTTTCGTTTGATCTGACTATGGTATGTCTATCGCGTCTAGAAAATGAGCCATGGCTTGGTATAATATTGATAAGTCCCTATTATTCAAATTTTGTTTGGTATAGTCCTGTTAAAATATTATATCATGTACCCGAAAACAAAACTAAACAAAAACGTTTTGATTCATAGCTGATAATTGGTACTTATCATGTCTAGATCAAATAATATGCACATTCTTTTGGTAAAACATTTTGGTCCATATGTGATAATTGGTACTTATCATAGTTATATCAAATAATATGCAAATTATTTCGGTAATTTTATGCTATGTCCCACTTAACATCTTTGATTCAAATAAATATTATATTTAAGTGGCATTTTCTGTAAGTTTTTTATGTAAGTGGCAAATAATATGAATATATCAAACTTTTCTTTTCGTTGTTTTGTACTTATCATAATTATTCATGAGCATTTGGTCGTATTCACGAACGTGTCGATTGCATTGTGTTAGTGTTAAGGTCTATCGATGACTAGTTAGTTACACTTAGTCAGTAAGTCAGTATTAAAGTCAGTTTGTCTAAATCTTTCGAAGGCGAATGACCCAGTAAATGCGATCGAGTAATTTGGTAATAATACAGTAATGGCATATAATACAAGTTTTCGTGTTACAAAAATAATTAAAAGATGTGTTTATTAGAAAATGAACAGTCGTCTTCTAATAATGTAAGTATTAAATTTTATAGTGTAGAACTGACTGATGTTGAATCAGCTTCATATCCAGGCACCTCTGGAAGTAAAGAAAGCAATTTGCACGTTTTAAAACCAGCACTATCTTCACCAGTGAATCTTAGAGAAAATACTCATCTGCTGAATGTATTAGCTTCTGAAGTAACTTCTGGTGATAATTTGAGTTCTGGATCTAGCAATTTGTGAGAACCATCAGATTCTGAACGTGAATATGGAAAAGCTGATTCCGAAGACCCTCAAAACGAGTTAGATGATCACTTTACGTACGTTAAAAAAAAGCATTTTCTACTTCAATTTATGTTTAAGAAGCCATTTAATGACACTTGCAAAACCTGTGATTTATTGTTTCTGAAGATAAAAAGCTGTGCCTCCGAAGAAGAAAAACAAAGATTAGAAAATTAAAGCCAACAATACCAGAATAATGCTTCCCTTCATTATACAACAAAACAAGGCGACAAAGAAGAAAGTATGCGGAGCTTAGACAAGCTTGTAGTAGTTGCATTTGATTTGCAGAAGTATTTGGCTACACCTAATTTGACATCTAGTGTGGCTTTCTATAAAAGAAAGTTATGGACTTTTAATTTGACGATCCGTAATATCACCACAAAACGGACATCGTGTAATATGTGGCATGAAATTGTAGCTTAACGAGGAGCTGATGAGATCGCATCTTGCTTATTTCAGTTTATTAGAGACTTGCCAGAACAGGTAGAAAAAGTATTCCTTTATTCTGATACATGCCCCGGTCAAAACTGAAATAATATATTACTGATTATGTTTTTAAAAGCACTTGAAGGAAAGGAAACTCTAAAGAAATGCATCATAAGTTTCTAGTTCCTGATCATACTCATTTAGAAGGTGATACAGACCATGCTACCATGGAGAGATTTGTGAAAAAAGAAACGCCACAATTTCAGTTCCACAGAACTGGGTATCAGTAATTAAAATGACGAGCCCTCGTTTTGATGTAAAATTTATGAAACAAACTGACTTTTTCAGATTTTCCAAACTTCTAACAACGCATTTTATGAAAAGAAATGTTGATAAAGATAAAAATTCTTTTGTTTCGAACAGCGTATTTTGGCTACATTACAAAAAGGATAGTTATATAGGCTTCAAATACACATTAGATCCCAACGAACCGTTTGGTTCAATGTCCATGCTAAGAAGAGGCAGGTCAACTTCCATGTCTAATATTCAGATACTGCCAGCTTATAGTGATCCTCTACCCATAGATTATTTGAAATATAAAGATATTCTCGACCTACTATCCTTTATAGATCCAATCTATCATGGATTTTACCATTCGCTTAAACACACTCAAACCAGTACCACACAATATACAAGCGACAGTGATGAAAATTTCGACGCTTAAGTTTCAATTAGGAGCAAGTAAAGCCATATATTTTCACAGCACTGTTTTCCAATACAAAGAAATTGACCAATAATAGTTTAAGTTCTTTCCTCTTTGACCGTTATCTCCATTAAAATACTTTTTAAATCTCTATATTTTTGATACAAATATGATATGTGCCAATATATCAAAAACAGAAATGTTAAAACATATTTTGTTTGTTACATCTGTTTTAGCACTTAATAAAGTATTTAATGAAATATATTTGGTTTTTTATTTTGTTGCCTTCGATTTAAGAAACCTTCTGGAATGTTAAAATTGCTCTACTGAAAAACATACATTTTGGAGTTAACATATGTCTCCCAAACAGCACAGATATATATGTGTGTGTATAATATGTATTGAATATAAGTAGTGAATAAAGTATACACATAATATAACGGCTTCTCCAAATCTTCGTATTATAAAAATGTAGGCATACATATACTATTTATTTTAAAAAGACAAAAAAAATACATACATATATGTATTACAAAATATGTAAACACATTTTACCTGAATATTTAATGAAAAAGTCTGTAATTTTTGTTTGTCGCCTTCCTTGAACTTCTGAAAAAAACATCTTTTCAATTGATGTGGAAACAATCGATAATGATTCTTTTACACTCTGGGAAGTTTCAGCAGTCTGAATAAATGCTCGTATGGTGGAACAAGCAGCATACGCTTCAGCAACAGTAGGGATTTTGCCGAAATCTTCCAATTCTTCATCAGCCTCATCAGTACTTTGTTTGTCACTAGTTTGGTGACTCAGTACGATGTCAATATCTGAGAGTTCTTCGCTCGTACTTATTTCGTCATCCACTCGTACATAGTCATCTGCAGAGCAGTCAGAACTGAAAAGGGAAATTGCATCCTGCAAATGCGTTTGTGCAATATCGTTGTATGCGATTCCTGATGGTTGTAAGTCTTTAGTTAGGCCGGAAAAACGAAAACAGTTGATGATCGTTTCCTTCCGCACAGATTCCCATGCCTTTGATATCATTAGTACAGCGTCAAGAATACTGACTTTCGTATCGTCGTTATTCTCTCTCTTTTCGATGATTTTGTACACCAATTCTTTCCGAAAGCATGCTTTAAGACTAACCTTGGTCCATGGGCTGCAGTACAGACGTACAATTTGGAGGCAGAAAAACGAGTTTAATTTGTTTTAACCTGTCAACTGGGGGGTGGGACGGACAGTTGTCGACAATTAAAATTATGTGTTTCTTTTGTTGTAAAAGTTCACTGTCCCATTTTAGTAAAGTCTTTTCAAAAATAGCTGACGTCATCCAGGCTTTTTTATTGAAATCATAATCAACAGGGAGATTTTTCACGTTTTTAAAACAGCGCGGCATTTTACTTTTTCCTATCACCAAAAGCTTCCTTTTTATGGAACCGGACATGTTGGCTGCAACAAGAACTGTAACACGCTCTTTTGAGAGTTTACCACCGGAACATTTCTTGTCTTTAAACTATAACGTGTGATCAGGTGTCAGTCTAAAAAATAACCCCATCTCGTCAGCATTAAAAATTTCATCATCGCTATAGTCGGACCTGAGTGTAGACCACACATTTTCAACCCAGTCATTTATAATTGATCTGTCAACAACTGCTGACTCACCTGAAATTTTTCCATGGACAATATTGTGGCGAGCTCGAAAACGTTGAACCCAGGAAGCATTACACTTAAAATTCTTCTTCAAAATCACAGCGAAAGCATCAGCCTTTACCTGAAGCATCGGCCCACTCACGGGTACATTGTTTGCGCGTTGTTGTTTAAACCAATCGAGCAAAGCACTTTCAATGTCACTGTAATTTGATGACCGAACGCGTTTTCCTTTTTCACACTTATTAAATTGCTTAATAATTTTCTCTCGCCTTTTCATTATTCCAGCAATTGTGGAGCGTGACGTTTTAAATTCCCGGGCAATCGAACTCGCGGAATCACTCGGCAAATTATTCCAAACTGTTCCTCAATAGTAAATTGTTTCCGTGACATTTTTTTAATGAAGGCTAGACACAACTGAATTCAAATTCAGAAACTCTTGGCTTAGGCCAAATGGTGAAATATGTATAAACAAATTTTGTAATACAATGGACCGTCTTGGGAGGTCTAACTGTCTAAAGGACAGTAGATGCCTGTCCGGATGTACTATAACCATAAATTAATAAATCCTTACTTCTCATTTCGTGGTATTAAATATCGGTAATACCTGTGAGAAATACAACACTACAATGGCATTTTCATAACTTTACAGGATAGCACTTTTAAACTTATTTTAAAGCAACATCTGAAGAATTTGTAGCAGATTATGAAGGTATAGATATAAGTAATGTTTTCTGGAGAGATAATAAAACAGTTACATTATTGTCTTCATTCGTTGGTATTGATCCTATTCAAACAATAGAGAGGTAATGACAGAAAATAGAAAAGAAGATCAAGTTGCCATGCCCTGCCATTATAAGCAATATAACCGTCATACGGGTGGGGTTGATTTGCTTGATAGTATCATTGGTAGATACAAAATAAAGATGAGGTCAAGAAAATTGTACATGAGGTTATTTTATCAAATTATTGACATAACTGTAATAAACGCTTGGCTTCTCTATCGACGATGTAATGAAGGCAAGCCGCATCTTTTAAAACTTGCACAATTTAGAGTTGACTTAGCATGTATACTATGTACTATTAGCTCACAAAATGCGACGAAAAGAGGACGACCATCTGACTTGCAACAACAAATCGATCTTAAAAGAAAAAAAGCTACTGGTGGCTCCCTTGCCCCTCAGGATGTCAGATTGGACAACCAAAATAATTTTCCCATGCGTGTGGGAATCAAACTTTTATAGTGTGTGAAAAGTATAATACAGCTTTATGTTTAAACAAAAACAACAACTGTTTCAAAACCTTTCACAAATCTTAGTTACTTTCGTCTTACTACGTTATGCTGTACTCCTTTGTGCGCAATGATGCATATATGCATCGCTAATTAAATATCAAATTATAAACAAAATTTTGGCGGTTGATTTTTTTATTATTTTCCCTTATTTATAATTTGTTAATGTGCCCTATAAATTTTTTCTTTGATAATAATGTAATTACGTGGCTAAAGGTTCTAAATCAAGGCTAAAATACAAAAAAAAATATAGGACTGGAACTAGATTTGTTTGGGAGGAGGAAAATATCAGTTTACCACCCCCTTTCCTGATTTCCCACCCTCCTTTTGAAAAATATTTTTGAACTTTAACTTGAATTCATTGTTTTGGCGTGTTTTTGGCATGCTTTGTTGAAATAGATCGGTGATGTCAATGAGTTTTACAAAAGAAAACATCCGGCATTAGATTTAGCAACCCGGAACCTTTCATTAATGTTATTGAAGTCTTGCAGAAAGTTTGTTCCATCTGAAGCCATTACTGAGGTTAATTTTTAGTAAGCATGAATACTCCGACTTCTCAGAATAGACAAAGAAAAAAGAAATAAATGCCTTGATTAGCTATGTGGCGATAAAGCTCTAACAAGTGTGAGAATGTGTACCAGTAACCATGTTAGAGGTTATTGACCGAATGATTACGGACCTCAGTCACAGGTTTAAGGCTTTAGACAACATAAACAAGTTTGGATTTTTAATAAAGTTCGAATTAGAGAAATGCAAATAAAATATCTAAAAATGAAAGCAGTAGAATTCTCCAAAAGTTGTAGACACCATTCAAAATAACACTCTTAGAAGAATATGCAGTGCATTTAGAACAACTCCTATTATACCTAACTCTTCAGGCCGAACTCGGTGAACTACCATTAGATCTAAGAAGACAGGAATATGTATTTTGTAATACTCTCATATGCAGCAAAGCAGTACTCTTTACAATGCCACCAAACGATTCGCTCCTCGAATATTCAGCACACAAAAACCCACATTCCCTTTTACGAAAGATGCAGAGGAATCATAAATGAATTAAACCTTAAAGTCCCTGACAAATATATTCCAACAAGATGTCAACTCCCCCTTGGCTAATATCTTCTCATATAAATTTGGATCTATTGTCAGAAAATAAAAAATAAACCAATCGTCATTTAATTAATTCTAAATATCAATTTTTTATCTATTATATTTCTCAATTTTTCTCCTTCAAACAGTTATTCACCAATGGATCTAAGATGGTACATTGTGTAGCATCTGCCTGTGTTACAATGGATGGAATAAATAAATATAAGCTGGAGGAGACTAACACTATTTTAACAGGGGAACTCTTTGCAATATATTGTTACGTAAAAATGAGTCATATTAAAGACCTGTAAACATGTTGTTTATTCACTAATATGCTCTAGATTTTACGACCCTTCGACTAGCTGGCAGAAATTCCAATTAATAAAAACAGGTGCATTCGAACGTTCCGGAAATAGGTTGAATGAAAAAACCAGCCCGTAACCTTCCAGTATTTTCGCCAGGTCAACAAACACGAGCTTCGAGAAATTCTATTCTAACAGCTGTATTGGGTATATAACGAGACTCTCATTGTTTTGGAGCAGTCAGAAGATAAATTCGCGACGGGTATTTAAATGTAACGCTCGTATAAATAAATTATGTGTAAGATGAATTAGTATGAATAAACTTTAAATCAAGTTGTGTTATAAATGTAGAACCTTTGATAAATAATAAAAACAATACATTAAAATTAATAAAGACTTAACAATATACAGCCATATGTATCGTTACAGAAAGTCCTGAAATTAACTTCCGAATAATTACAGACTCACCAAATTCTCTAGAAATCATCTCGAAAATATATTCTTCCCATCATGTGAGAAACTTATTAGACAAGAATTGCAAAATCTAAATCGCAGAAATATTAATTCCCTATGGGTCCCATCTCATATTGGAATCACAGGAAATGGACGCAACTATTGAAATTTATCAAAAAAACTACAGCAACAGATCTCAAATTATATTTCCACGGCAAAATAGTTGGCATATGGAAGAGCAGATGACACAAAAAACAGGCAAAGTTACTTGAAATAAAATAACATTTCAACCATGGTAGAGTTCCACCAATCGTTTTTCTCAGGTGATCATCACGCGACTGTGGCTTGGTTATAGTCGCATGAACGTTTGCTGAAACGAGATCCCAAACGGAGTGTTATGTTTCAAGACCCCGTTAACAATAAAACAACTTTTAGTGGAGTGCCTGTTACACAGTGTGTAAAGAGGTGAAGATCAGAATCCTGGAGTTTGAAATAACTATTCTTAAAGTATGGTACCAAAGTGACTATTCAATATTTAAAAGAAATAAACTATTTATATGAAATTTGATTGTTGTACTATCCTGTTATTCTATGTTAATATTTTTTTGTTTCGCTAATAGCAATATAGGCTGATGTGAGTTTGTAAATAAAAAAAATATATGAAAGAACTTTGAAAAAGCATAATATGACAAATGGGAATTAAATTGTTGGTTTGTATAACAAATTCTCCGTATGATATTGTAACAACAATATTAATACAATGGGCAATAGATGTTTTACAGATATATTGGGAAATAATTTAATATAATGGGAAAAGATACTGGCAAATTAAAAAATGATGTCATTAAGGTATTCTCTACATAATTTACAATATTACACATTTAACAGAGCACTGAAAAAAAATTAATATACTTACTGTAAAAAGAACAAAATATTTTTGATTATTTTCTCCTACACAATTATTTACCCATGGACAATGATGGTCCATTTTTCTAATACACCTACAACAAATACACACCATGTATTTCGTACCATGAGTATTTAAATTAAACAAAGAAGTATTTTGCCTTGCAAGAGACATCTTATTAGTTATTACTACTTATCTATTAATCATCCATTTTCTTAAATTTGTACTCTTAAAATGATAGGATTATTTCAGGCAACAGCTTTTCATTTATCCAACTGAAATGAGTAATGGATAATCTCCAGTTGAAAATCATGTAATGTGTTTTATTAAATATCATTTTTCTGCTTCTACTAATATCAATTTGACACCTTCATTGTCATTACTATTTAAAATTTTGTATACTTTTCAGAATAATGCATTGTGAAAGACATATGTTTACTTGAGCAACAAATTTAAATGTAATTTGATTAACTTATGTTTTTGTTAAAATTTTGGGATTTAATTTTAATAGAATAGCAATTCTTATGTGACTAACATTTAATATCTCATGAAAATATTCGTTACACCGTTATAAACACTTGTCATTATATCTTCCCACCAGATTTCCTTTCCTTTCTCTTCTTTGCAGAATTAAATTTTTGGATTTTTTATATTTCCTGATAAAAATTCCTCGCATCTTTGTTGTAGTTTCTTGTGTACTGTATTGTGTACTGTAACAATATTTACATTTCTCATTGAATCAGTGTTTCATCTGAGTTTATCGATTTCTCTCCTCCGGAAAAAGAAGCTACACTCACGATCATTGTTTTTTCTAACCATTTTTTTACAACTAAATCTTATGTTTGCTTTGCCAGCTTTGGAACTTCACTAGTTTTTTATGTCTGCATGGTGTTTACTCTGTGATAACGTATTGTATATTGTAACTGTTTTCAACTGCACCTTTAGTAATTTTATAACAATTTCCATTTGTATCCATTTGTGTACTGTGTTTAAATTACCAATCAATTGACTGGTATAATTAAACTACTCAAATCAAGTCTGTTGGTGAAGGAGGCACAGTTGATAATTACACAGGTATATTTAAATCTATACTATCTATTGGAATTTTATAGTAATTTTCATATCATGGGCTTGATGCACAGCTCACCAAGTCAAAATAATTCATTTTGAGAAAATGGCTGATAAAAAAACCTCTTGTTTCATGTTGTTGAAGTGTCAATAACACTTTATTTTTACTAGATAAAAGACATATTATCAGATGTTCTATCAATAATTTTTCAACTAGTTTTATTATTACTGTTTTTACAGATAAAAAAAAAACAAAAAAAATCTCACTACATGAATTTTAAATTGGTATAGTATTTATAAAGTCAGTTGAAACATTTCTCTCCGGCTCAATTTATAAGGACAGTTCAATATTACATTTACCGGTAATCAAGTTAAAGTATAAATAACATGCGTCAATGTTTTAAACATATTTGAACAATCCCCGTACTTTGTAGGAAATAGATGGAAGAAAGAGAGAATGAAAGATACATCCCATCAAATAAATATTGGATATTGATATGTTATTCAAAATCACCAATATTTAACACTCTACTTGGATGTCAGGCAAGTGGCAGTGTGGTGTACAGATAAGAAACACTGTTGATTCATGCCAGTGCTGTACAGCTAAAATGTTTATTATTTTACGAAGTATAATTAAATCATTATACTGTCAATATGGCCTATTGCCCTTTAATTATAAATTATTTTTGTTGCTTACTATGACATGTTAAAAACTTTTTTATACACTTATGTACGTTACGACAGCTTTAAGTAAATTAAAATGGTCCTTTGTCTGTTCTTCATTAATCTATATTTGATTATAGAAATAAATGATGTGCCCATGTCTGATAATATGATATTCTTTTAATGTTTGTCAGCAACCAGTTTTTTGGGTGTTTCAACTAACTTTATAAGTACTATACCGTGATTGTAAAATTGCGGTTGATTTAATGAGGTTTTAAGTAATTGGATTGCTATAAAAAAGCAACTCACAGTTACATTTTATTGAACAAAATAAATATTTTTGACATCCAATATTGTTTTTTGACTATGATGGTAATTAGACCATTGTTTTATTTCGAATATAATTAAAAACATTAATTTCTAGTTTTTTAGGATAATAAACCAACTAAAACCTTTATATTTTAATGTTTAGTGTAATAGCTTACCTTTGACAAACTGAACAATGATGGGCTCTATCTGGTTTAATACTACAACATTTTGGACACTTAAATATCACTTGTCCTTCTCTAAACCCCATCTGTTTAATCATTTCTTTGGTAGCATTTCCTTTGGGAACTGCTCCCTAAAATCAGAGCTATAATTTACTACAACACTCTCTTTAATATATCCTACAGTAATTATAAAAAGTACTATAATTTTGTAAATGTCTTAATGATTATCTAATAGCCTTTCTACACAATTGCGTGCTATTGTTCTTTGCTGTATCAAAACGACAAAATTTTAAACTGAAATTCTGGTTAATTCCAATTAAACATAGTAAACAACTCCTCATTTTGGACATAACCAACAACTATTGTGTAGATAGTGATCTATGGCATGAGGGTTATTGTCAAAAATAACAATTTAACATCTAGATCTATTCACTGACCTCTAGTAAATTTAGTAATTATTGTGCCTGTGCCATGTTGGTCAAATTTTGACAGACATCCATTGAAAGTGGCTGGAAGTTACTATACAGTAAAGCATCTTTGCTCATAACCAATATTAATTATATAAGTGTAAAGATTATTCAAATGCATTAATCAATGAAATAAAATTTCAATTAAGACAACTAAGACAAGAGACTAATTAGTAATTATTATTGATGTTTCAATTTCCACTTCGGAAATAGTTCTCCAATAATTTAATAATAAAATATGTTTATTTTATTGACAACTAAATATTGGGACAGAACAAATATTTATTTTTGAATTGGGCATTGACTCCTAAGGATCTACACTGTTCAGAGGTAAATGTGGAACTTGCCATATGACAGGCCATTCAACCCTGCTGAAAAATATAATTATCTGTAACATTTAATTTCACAATGTTTGATAGGCTGTTTTGAAATATTTGTTGATATTCAGAAGTATTTTTAGTCATTTTTAGATTAATATTTACAAATGTAAAGTTTTTAATCAAAATTAATGAATATATACTTCCATTGTTCATGATTGTTTTTCTTTTTTCAATTAAAGAAGTCTGCAACAGTAACTTTATTTCAGTTTTTAATAATATGAGGTAGATATTTTTATGTTGCATGTTTCTAACAATAACTGTCAAAATATTTCCAAGCTGAGTGAACCTACTAAGAATTTTTATGTAGTATGTTTCCTACAATAACTCTCTCATAATATTCCCAAAATCAATGAATTAACTATACATAGTGTTAAAAGACTATAGTCTATATCAGTGGTCACCAAATGGCAGACCTCGATTTGCATCCAGACTGTGAGCTTGTTTTTTGTGGACAGTGAGCTTGTTTTTTGCGGACCGCTGTTAAATTCAAAATATAGTAATAAAATTATAGTGTAACATATTCAAATCTAAATATATAAATATTTTTACATTTTTAAAAATGCACAATACTAATACTATATAGAAATGCTCATAATACTAAACATAAAAGAATTTCTATCCACTATTGATGCTGCTGCAGCTATTGATGCTGAATGAAGCTGCAAATGATCAAACACACAGAAAATGCTGCAACTATCGCACTTTTAGCAGATATCCTCAGACATCTGAACTTCTTGAAATTAAAACTATAATGCAAGGGAAAACTTGTTTGTGAACTTTCTGGATATTAGAAGTTTTTCTAACAAGATTGAACTTTTTTCTGAGGATATTAAAGCAGAACTTTTGCATTTTCCTCTCCTTAAATCCATTTGTGATAGTAATAAAGATATTGATGTTATATAGTTCTCACATTTTATTAATACTGATGAACTTGATTTTAAATTAAAAAAAAAACGATTTGCTGATTTCCACAAAATTGAAAATGTTGTGCAACTGTTAAGCAACAGTTTTTCAATCAAATCATGGACCAGCGAAGCAGCAGACACATTACACCATAACAATTTATTAAACAAAGACAAGAGAAAAACAATATAATAGCTTTATAATCATCTTTTTTTGAGTTTATTTCATACCCCTCCTAAACAAAGTGGCCTAGTTGCCTGGTTTCAATTATGTAACCAGGATGATCTCGTGAGGGGAGGTTACAACTACTGGAGGGTTTCTGGGTAAACCCACCCTCCCCTGGTTACACCACTGCCTGATTTAGTGCTGAGTGTACGGACCACGGAAGTGTAGTAAGTTTTCGAAATGGACCCTCAGGGTATATAATTGGTGACCCAGGTCTATACATTCTTCACCTTTTAGGTAGCTCATTTTTTTTTAACTTCTATTAGTTGACACAAAATAGTTTTAAATTTACCATATCATGACAATCATTTTTTGTAATTTTTTGAAAAACATTTTCAATTTTTATAAATTACTAATTTTAATTTAAATAGTTAAACAGCAGGACTTCACTTAAGATGCAAAGTAATGTATATGCTGTAGATGCAATTATCTGAAAACTTAACATTTTTAATATTCCTGCTTGTTGCCAAAAAGTGACAATATATTTTATACTTAAATTGGGATTTTGATAAGATCAAAAATATACTTATAAATATGAATCAAATAAACAGCCAGTCATAACCTTGTTAATGTTTATCATCAAGCATGAAACAAAAAACAAGCACATAACCCATGTTTAATAAGTATAAGTCAACTGATTACAGTCATTGTAACGAAAATTATGTAAATGAGCTATACAAGTAAAATATTCGATTTAATTCATTTAATTAAAGTAGTGGTATCAATTATTAATGATTAAGAAATGGGTACTTACAGGATCTGTAAACATAGTTTTTAGATGTGATGTTATTGCTAAAAATGCACATAATTGGAATATAACCATATGAACAATACTGTAAATTGGATAAGGGCTTGGAATGAGTATAACAGACATAACAACAAACTCTGCATATAATATCAATAACCATGTTAAAATTGCACATATAATTCCGCAAATATCTCTAATGCACCATAACATTCCACCGCAACATTTGTTGTGAAAATCTGATTCTTTTCTAAAAGAACCGTACTCATATTCCATCATGACGCCCTGAATTGTACAAATTCAGATTTATTGAACTACTTTTATTAATTGAATACTTTTATTCCACCTTGACTGATGTATGTTTCATAAGCTCTAATGGAGGATACATGCGAGCAAATTTCAAATTATGTCGTAACTCTAAAGAAAATTTTCTAAAAAACATGATTTTTCTATCTGATCTGCAAAATATTAAAAATTACATTTTCATTTTCATTTCAACTTGACTGACATTTGTCAACATCGGTCTGTTTGCCTGAATATGTCAGTTCACATTGTTGCCAATCTGACATATAGAATGTTCCTGTTGTTTTAAAACCTAACCAATCATAGAGCGTTCATATTCCCTTGTAACCAATTGTAATTGGTTGTCAAGGTTGTCATTGTCAAAATAGTTGCTTGAGTGATGCCCATTTTTAACGGCCAAAACATTCAAAACATTCTCCTGTAGATCTTGCCAATATACAGATATTATACATTTTTATTATTTGTTATACAAAATATTACACATTTATTGTAAAGAACGTCTGGATGAAATGGTGAAAAATAAAAGGGATGTTAAGCCTCTCCCGAGAAGAGCATCTTTTTCGTCAAAGAGAGCTGTACTCAATCAAACAATAACAAAAGTATTGTCTTGTCCTGCTTCATCAACTTCCATAAAATCAAATTCATCAGCAAACATAAAAGTAGTCGTAAGAGTGCGTCCGCAGAGTATCAAGGAAGAAGAAGGAAATAACAGGTAAATCAATGAAATTATAACTATTAGAACAGTTTAAGTTGAAACCTTTTTATTTTAATAAAAAAACTGATGACTAGGTACCACTTCTTTATATCAAATTTAATTCATCAAGTTTCCTTATATTCAAAATCCAAATTAGATATAATTGTTCCATAGACATGGTCTATGGCATTTTTGAAGAATAACCTTGTTTATAGTTAAACATGTGTAGACCTGTTTTAACAATACATGTAAAAAATTAACTACTCTATTCATGTAAATTTGATAATAGGTATGTAACTCTAGGTAAAATATACTTGTCTATTTATTCATACTATTTTGTAGGGAAGTGTCTTAGTTTTTATTTACAATTTATTTATTTTCTTATTTTTAGAATTGTAGTGCAGGTTGTGAATGATGATTTCCTTATATTTGATCCGGAAGAAGAAACCCAAGGATTCTTTTTCCATGGAGTACAACAGAAAGGTCGTGATTTGCTTAAAAAGGTCAAGAAAAACATGAAATTCTTCTTTGACAAAATATTTGCAACAGATGCAACCAATTCAGATATTTTTAAAGGCAGTACATATCCCCTTATCAGCTCTGTAATGGATGGCTACAACTGTTCAGTTTTTGCATATGGAGCAACAGGAGCTGGGAAGACATTTACAATGACAGGAACAGCAGAAAATCCAGGAATTACCTATCTAACTATGACTGAACTGTTCAAACAGCAAGAAGATCTTAGTACAGAGTGGGATTTTGATCTTGGTAATCTTATATATCTATATATTTTTATGTTTGGTAATACTCCAATTTCTATTATTTTTTTCGTGTGATAATGGAGAATTTTCTTTAGATAAAGGGAAAGGTTAACAAGTACATTTGAAATTGTACTTGTTTAAAAGTAATTATGCATCCAAAGTGTTTACACCCTAAAAAGATATGTACTTAAGTATATACTTAATTTTAGGTATCACTTATTTGGAAGTGTATAATGAATTAGTAAAAGATTTATTACATCCTGGACCTCCACTAAATCTAAGGGAAGATTCAAATTATGGAGTTATTGTGGCTGGAATAAAGGTGTTCAAAATCAGTAATGCAGATGAGTTATTTAATTTACTAGAACAAGGAAATCAAAATAGAACACAACATCCTACTGATGCTAATGCTGAAAGTTCTAGATCACATGCAGTTTTCCAAGTTTACATTAAAATGACAAGGAAGAGTACTAAGGAGGTAGGATTATAATTTATTGTACACTATATTAGGGGATCTCAGATTATATTTTTCACTAAGTTTAATTTGTTGTGACTCATGTAGTGGGTTATTCAAGAGTTACATGGGAAGTCATGTTTGGTTTATCATGATAAAGTTATTATGTTCAATAAGACCTTTGAAAAATGTCTACAACATCTTGAAGAAGTCCTAGAAGAAATACATTTAATTTGTAGAACAATTTTAAAATTTGCTTTTAATACATATTATAATCCTCTACAAATAGTTTCTTATAACTTTTGATGTAAAAAAAATTTCCTATGGCCCGTTTGGCGATTCACCACCCGGTAGTTTGTCTAGATGAATGTGCGAAGATTAAAATATATATTTTTGACACATTGAACATCATATTTTGTGTGTTTATGTTTAGTTCTTTCTCAAATTTTTCTCGGTTTTTCTTTTAGGTTCGAACAGCAAAGTTGAGTATGATTGATCTAGCAGGTAGCGAAAGAGGCTCAGTGACAGGTTATGGTGGAGCTCGTTTCACTGAAGGAGCAAATATAAATAAGTCATTGCTTGCATTAGGAAATTGTATAAACAGCTTAGCAGATGGCCAACGCCACGTCCCGTACCGTGACTCTAAATTGACTAGATTACTCAAAGATAGTCTTGGAGGTAACTGCAAGACAGTGATGATAGCAAATGTTTCACCATCTTCTCTCAGTTTTGAGGATACTTATAACACATTAAAATATGCAACCAGAGCTAAGAAGATTAAATCTAACATACATATGAATGTGGCAAAGGTAGATTTAAATATAATACATTATGTTAAAATGATAGACGACTTGACAAACGAGAACAAAACATTAAAACAACAATTGAAAGAAGAGGTGGACAAAAAAGAAATGTTGGAAAAGGAATGTGAAAGGTTTGTATTTAGTTTTAATTTAGATGAATAAACTCGTACTTTAGTATTCATGCACTAATTAGATAATTCAAAAGGAATCTTAAACACCAATAAAAAAATTAAATAGCTCTAGCCAGATACTTAGATATGAATAGATGTATGTGTAGATTCAAGATAAATGAAAAAAAAAAATAAATAGCAGAAGTCAAAATAGAAAGAAAAATAGAAGAAAAAATTAAACGGAAAACCAGAATTAGAATAGGTAGATATTATGGTGGTATTTACATATTGGTCAGATCTTCCGTTTTTCTGTAAATCTAATGAACTTTCTTAATTTAAATAAAACACTCTGTATACTTTTTGCCTTTTGAAGTCCTTAATGGGCTTCTTTAACTTGAAGGGCAAAAGACAATATTTACAAAGAGAATAAGGTGGCGCTCCACCTCACAGTGAGGGTGTGGTGAGGCAATATCTAATTAATGTATTTCCCAGAAGATATATTGGAAGGCATGGTTTTATCGAATATCTCTGTGATCATCCTACCCACATGAATCATTTAGACTATTTCCTGTGGGGTCACTTAATAAACCTTATATAAAAAACATAACCTGCCAATATTCAGTTATTAAAGAAAAATTGAGCAGTCAGGGATGTTGAAAAATGTATTGCAACATTTTAAAAATCGCATGGCTTGTTCTATTGAAGTAAACAGACAACATTTTGAGAATGTGCTGATTGATTTTGATGCATTGATTGATTTACTGCACCAGTTTCGTTAAACTTTTTACTAATTTATTGACAGTAGACCTTTTGTCATATTATTAGGATATAAATTATTGAAGAATGTTCAAATTAAACGAGTTTATTCATATAAATGTATTATTTTAACTTCAGTGAAGATAATGTAAATGTAGCAATAACTCTGACATTTAGGTATAGGGAACTTTATATGAAAAATAATTAATATTTCTCAAGGACTTCAATGAGCAAAAAGCGCAAAACGTAGTGTTTCATTTGAACTAAGAAAGTTCATTAGATTTCCAGAAAAACGGAAGATCTGACAATCTAAATGATACCCTAATATCTGCCGCATTACAAGACCCTTACACAACAAATTCTATAAAAATCGTGCAAACCGTTTCCGAGATAATTGAGGCTTTCCATAAATAAAACTCACTCTGTATACTCTTCAACACTTTTAATCTCACTTTTATCATTGTGATATTTTGATTTGTCATCACTTTTGTTTTATTTAAATGCATTTTTAATATTTCATAGATAATCTTTTAAGTTCCTCTAGGATATAGAGTAGTTCCTCTGTTATGTACTGTTGCTTATGAGCCAATGACAATTTAACTTCTTGAATACATCTTCTAATGCAAGAGTAAACGATTTTTGGGAGATAGTGTCTCCCTATCCAACTCCTCTTTCCGTTCTTATTTGGTTGTTGCTAGACATTCTGCTACATTTTGTTTGTATTGTTGTATATTTTGTTGAACAATACTCTATATCTGAAATCAATCCTTGCATTATTTTTCTATGCCTTATTGTAATCTGCAAATGCCAAATGAATGAAGGGCTTTATTGTATTCGTTACACGTTTCTATAAGTCTCTGCATTGTCTGTAGGTGTTCTATGGTACTATAACCTTTGCCAAATCTTGCTTGTTCAACAGGCTGGTAACTATCTAACTTAATTAATAGTCTGTTAATAATTATTTTGGTAAGCACTTTGTATGTAAGTGGTAATAGGCCTATTAGACTGTATGGTGTGTTTGTCCATTTTGTTGTGTAGTAAAAATGCAAAGTAGTTTGACCCCTAGTTTTAATCATATTCCTTTGTCTACAACAGCTTTTACATTTTTCATCTATTTTAATACATTTTTAACTTCCTTGTTAGTAGTTTCTGATAGTGCTGGACGAGTATAAGTCTGTATAGTAATCTTCAACAATTTTTTCCTTCTACCTTTCTAAAAAATTGTCACAATTGGACCATAAATAAAAAAGCTGTTTATGTCAAAAAAATTAAACAGTTTTTTTCTACTCTCTTACTAGTAAATTGTATATTGCCTACTATTTGGATGCTAAGTAAATGCATCATAACAGATACTGACACGTAATGACTAGCACGTAATAAAAAAAATTACGCTTCAGTTTTATAAAAATGTGTAATATCACATAAGCCTCGTAAGTCAGTTGGTCGAGTTACCATGAAAACGAATTAACAGACGTTATTTTGACAGATTAAAAATTATTAATCTGTCAGTGTAAACATAATGGTAATTTAATTTTTATTTTTATAAATGAAAATAATCGTAGAAAAAGTATAGTACACAACTTGAGTTGTAAGCTTATTACATGCTTGTAATAAGCTTTTTTACTCGCATGTAATAAGCTTCTTACAACTTTCGTTATGTAATATACTATAAAATAACCGTTTTTATGCACCTGAGTATATTTGTTAAGTGTTAGCGATATGTTAAGTATTTAGTGCGGAACTTATCCGCGAATACCGGGGCGCTAATTTACAGTGGAATAATGACCACAGAAAAAGGAAGATTTTATAAATGGAGAAATAAAAATGTATAAACGACAAAACATAATGAACACAGTAAAGTGAGGTGGAACCAACAAATCATTCTTAATTTTAGGTTAAAGCATGATTTTGTGTAATAACTTATCTTTTATTTTTAGATTAAAATCTGAAGTAGAAGTATCAGGCTTTTGTGCAGACGTTAATGATGAGGCATTCGATAAAATTAAAGTATTAATGCAACAACAAAAAGAGATTTTAGAGAGGCAGTTTGGATTAGAACTAAATCACGATGTCACATTATTAAGAAGGTAAAAAATCTTGATTGGGGGTAATTTCTAAGTTTTTTTAAATTCAATTTTTATTATTAATTATTAGTACCAGTTTCCCTGAAATTTGCTTCCATTAAAGTCGCTTGCATATATAAATAAATTGTTCTGTTTATCTAATGTATTCTATTTTTGTTTACTCATGTGCCGAAGTACCTCATCATTGGTAACTTTTTGTATCCATGGAATTCTCAGCATCGGTCTGTTTATATACATTGCATATTCTTTTTTCTGTTTCGAGTCCATTGTCCACCTTTCACAACCATACGGCAAAACAGAGATAACATAACATCTGATCATTCGAATTCTGAGCTGTAGAATAAGGTCTGATCTTGTAAAAAATGTTTTCATGTTCATGAGTGTTTTCCTTCTTGTTCGATTCTTTATAGGATTTTTTGCTACACTCCCAAATTTGCTTCCAAATATTTTATGGAAGTTACCTCTTCTATTATTTGTCCCTTGGCATAAAAATGTAAATTTCTTGGAATCTTTGAAAATATTAGAATTTTAATTTTGGAATCATTTAAATGTAAACCGAACATTTTGATATGTTTTGTAGTTCTTGATAAATGATTTTATTATATTTTGTAGTTCTTGTGGGTTGCTTGCTATTAGGAAGGTATCAACAGCGTACACAATGTTGTCTATACTGGTTCCGTTAATCTTGATTCCACCTCGAACCTCGTCTAATGCTTTTCTGACTATAGATTAAATAATAGCTGTGATAAAACACAATCTTATCGCACTCCTCTTCGGATTTTGTGTACTCTATTTCAATTGTTGTCGTTTGGTGCCAATATATAGGAAATTGAAATAAGGTTGAATGCTCGAATAAATGAACTTCAAAAAATTTTAAGGCTATTATCGAGCACAAGTTTAACTAAATCAGGCCCAAGTACTTTCGCTAGAATAGCATCTTCAGGGGCATCTGAAATAAGCCAAGAAAACGTTTTTTAGAAGAAAGAAATTAGTTAACTTCGATAAAACTCGAAGTTAATGGATGAAAAAAAGGTTTTTTGTGATTGACGTTTTAGACTTACTTCGTCAAATAGGGACTATCCAGCAAACGTAGAATTTAAAAAAACATTGAAACTAACATAAAATTGCACAAACAACACACTGAAACAGGGACAAACAGTTTAAAATTAAAATCAAGACTCTACGCACTACATTTTTGTCGGTGTCTGTATGGAGAATGATATAAGCGGAAGTGATAAGGTGACATGTGACATATGACAACTTTGATAGGCAGTCACAGTCATGGATCTGTACATATCAAAATTCTGTATAAGTTGTCATTGGCCGAAGGTCAAACTAGAACTACTGTAAAAATCAGCTTATGAAGTGTGACATATAGAATATTTTGAATTAAACTAGATTGGATGGTCCAGATCTCACACTCACACCCGTCTATAATAATAAGGTTGTAGATTTGAGGGTAAATGAAGTGTACATAAAATGTGAATGAAAGAAATAGACCAAACGATCTATTGGACAGTGGATGGTTGACTACAATAAAATGGTCGACCAGGCAATGTCAATACTGCAAAAACGAGAAGAAAAATTGACTATGAAATTGAAATATTAAAATTAAATCAAATTTGAAAACAGTGTATAAATGGGTATAGTTCAAGTAGTTCAGTTGGACCTCAAGCCAATGGGAGAAATGTAAAACTAATATATAATAGCGTTACTGAGGACCAACCGACCAACAGGTGTTGAAATATAAAACTGTGGAATTAGTATATGTGGATTATGCAGAGGTATGAAGAATGAAATCAACTCCAACTGTGGATCAACTGAACCTGAGCAAGCTAATTGTGTAAATTGTTAGTGAATACAATAGTAATGCAGAACAAAGCATGAAATTAATAGATTCTTAATGTATATACTCAGTGCAGGAAGTCTATACAGCCGAGCTGGGTCCACTACGAGGTGAAGCTGCAATAAAGTTTTTAAAAATAGGTTTAAATTTAGTACAGTTTAAATTAATTTGAGTGTTAAGACAATGAGAGTTTTCATTAGTTTCCTTTGTGATCTCCAAATCTTCCAATAGATCTAACTCCAAATAGTTTTTCTTTCTACTGATATCATGTAAAATAGCCGAACCAGTATTGATGTTGAAATTGTGTTTACTAGACTCTAAATGTTGACCAAAACTTGAAGAGTTTGGTCTTTTTAAATGTTCTGATATTCTGGTAGATAGCTTTCTAATGGTTCTACCTACATAAGAGGCATCACAATCGTCACACTTTAATTTGTATATACCACTTTTGTCAAGTGTGTTCAATCTGTCTTTGGTGTTAATTAAAAAGGAACCTACAGTGTTGTGTGACTTGAAGGAAATTTTGATGTTTTCAACTGCAGAAGTAAAAAGTTTAGCAATTTTATTAGAAATGTTGCTAATGTAAGTAAAAGAGAAATATCTGATGTTGTTAGAAGCATTAGGTTGAATAAGACTTTGTGATGAATATGCAAGCTTTTCTGTAATTTTGAGTTTAGCTCTATTTAGAAGCTTATGGATAATGTTGGGATCATAACCATTATTTAATGCAATTTGTTTGAGAGTATTGAGTTCTAAATTAAAGTTATCATTTGAAAGTGGAAATTTAAGTAATCTGTGAATATAACTATTGAAAGCAGCCATTTTATGTTGGGTTGGATGGTTAGATCTCTCATGTATAACATGATCTGTTTGGGTGGGCTTTCTGTAAATATTGTACTCAAGAGAATCTCTATTGCGAGTTATAGTCATATCCAAGAAGTTCAACTTATTGTCAGATTCTGGTTCCAAAGTAAAAGAGATGTTAGGATGAAGGTTATTGAGATCATCCAGAATCTGTAAAGCATCATCTTGGGATCCTTGTATGAGAGCTATACAATCATCAACGTACCTTGACCAAAAAATTATTTTGTTGTTGTTGTTAACAAATTTCTGTTCTAAGCTGTCCAAAAAAATATCAGCTAGAAAAGGTGATAATGGAGATCCCATTGCTAAACCTGTCGGTTGTTTGTATATTTTTTGGTTAAATTGGAAGAAGTCTTGATCAAGACAGAATTTAAGCATAGTTGAGATAGCATCTTTGTCTTTAGCCGGTATGTTGCAATTGTTTAAAAGGTTGTTTACTAAAGGTAATGTTTCATCTCTTGGTACAGAAGTAAACAAATTGGAAACATCAAAGGAAACCAAATAAAAACTCTCTTCTATTTTGATATTATTTAAACGTTCTATTAGATCTACAGAATTTGTAATGGAGAACTTAGGTTTAAAATTAGTGATAGATTGAATTGTGTTATAAACAAACTCTGACAATATGGAAACTGGAGTGTTGCAAAAACTTACAACAGGCCTAATGGGACAATTGTGCTTATGAATTTTAGGAAGTCCATATAACCTAGGTGTTATAGGGTTAGATACAATTAACTTTCTGTTGTTATATTTAGAAATAGTATCATTAAATAATTTAACCATTGCTTTTGTTTTATTAATAAAGGTGTTAAGTGGATTTTTTTGCAAAACTACAAAATTATTATCTGATAGGAAAGATTCTACTTTTTCAATGTATTGAGTTTGTTCTAAAATTACAACACAATTTCCCTTATCAGCCTTGCTGAGTACTAGTGAATCTCTATCGATTTTTTGTTTTATTGATTTTAGCAAATCCTTATGTTTTTTAAAAGAATGGTGGTTTCTATGAAAATTACGTTACTAACGTAATTTTCATAGAAACCACCATTCTTTTAAAAAACATAAGGATTTGCTAAAATCAATAAAACAAAAAATCGATAGAGATTCACTAGTACTCAGCAAGGCTGATAAGGGAAATTGTGTTGTAATTTTAGAACAAACTCAATACATTGAAAAAGTAGAATCTTTCCTATCAGATAATAATTTTGTAGTTTTGCAAAAAAATCCACTTAACACCTTTATTAATAAAACAAAAGCAATGGTTAAATTATTTAATGATACTATTTCTAAATATAACAACAGAAAGTTAATTGTATCTAACCCTATAACACCTAGGTTATATGGACTTCCTAAAATTCATAAGCACAATTGTCCCATTAGGCCTGTTGTAAGTTTTTGCAACACTCCAGTTTCCATATTGTCAGAGTTTGTTTATAACACAATTCAATCTATCACTAATTTTAAACCTAAGTTCTCCATTACAAATTCTGTAGATCTAATAGAACGTTTAAATAATATCAAAATAGAAGAGAGTTTTTATTTGGTTTCCTTTGATGTTTCCAATTTGTTTACTTCTGTACCAAGAGATGAAACATTACCTTTAGTAAACAACCTTTTAAACAATTGCAACATACCGGCTAAAGACAAAGATGCTATCTCAACTATGCTTAAATTCTGTCTTGATCAAGACTTCTTCCAATTTAACCAAAAAATATACAAACAACCGACAGGTTTAGCAATGGGATCTCCATTATCACCTTTTCTAGCTGATATTTTTTTGGACAGCTTAGAACAGAAATTTGTTAACAACAACAACAAAATAATTTTTTGGTCAAGGTACGTTGATGATTGTATAGCTCTCATACAAGGATCCCAAGATGATGCTTTACAGATTCTGGATGATCTCAATAACCTTCATCCTAACATCTCTTTTACTTTGGAACCAGAATCTGACAATAAGTTGAACTTCTTGGATATGACTATAACTCGCAATAGAGATTCTCTTGAGTACAATATTTACAGAAAGCCCACCCAAACAGATCATGTTATACATGAGAGATCTAACCATCCAACCCAACATAAAATGGCTGCTTTCAATAGTTATATTCACAGATTACTTAAATTTCCACTTTCAAATGATAACTTTAATTTAGAACTCAATACTCTCAAACAAATTGCATTAAATAATGGTTATGATCCCAACATTATCCATAAGCTTCTAAATAGAGCTAAACTCAAAATTACAGAAAAGCTTGCATATTCATCACAAAGTCTTATTCAACCTAATGCTTCTAACAACATCAGATATTTCTCTTTTACTTACATTAGCAACATTTCTAATAAAATTGCTAAACTTTTTACTTCTGCAGTTGAAAACATCAAAATTTCCTTCAAGTCACACAACACTGTAGGTTCCTTTTTAATTAACACCAAAGACAGATTGAACACACTTGACAAAAGTGGTATATACAAATTAAAGTGTGACGATTGTGATGCCTCTTATGTAGGTAGAACCATTAGAAAGCTATCTACCAGAATATCAGAACATTTAAAAAGACCAAACTCTTCAAGTTTTGGTCAACATTTAGAGTCTAGTAAACACAATTTCAACATCAATACTGGTTCGGCTATTTTACATGATATCAGTAGAAAGAAAAACTATTTGGAGTTAGATCTATTGGAAGATTTGGAGATCACAAAGGAAACTAATGAAAACTCTCATTGTCTTAACACTCAAATTAATTTAAACTGTACTAAATTTAAACCTATTTTTAAAAACTTTATTGCAGCTTCACCTCGTAGTGGACCCAGCTCGGCTGTATAGACTTCCTGCACTGAGTATATACATTAAGAATCTATTAATTTCATGCTTTGTTCTGCATTACTATTGTATTCACTAACAATTTACACAATTAGCTTGCTCAGGTTCAGTTGATCCACAGTTGGAGTTGATTTCATTCTTCATACCTCTGCATAATCCACATATACTAATTCCACAGTTTTATATTTCAACACCTGTTGGTCGGTTGGTCCTCAGTAACGCTATTATATATTAGTTTTACATTTCTCCCATTGGCTTGAGGTCCAACTGAACTACTTGAACTATACCCATTTATACACTGTTTTCAAATTTGATTTAATTTTAATATTTCAATTTCATAGTCAATTTTTCTTCTCGTTTTTGCAGTATTGACATTGCCTGGTCGACCATTTTATTGTAGTCAACCATCCACTGTCCAATAGATCGTTTGGTCTATTTCTTTCATTCACATTTTATGTACACTTCATTTACCCTCAAATCTACAACCTTATTATTATAGACGGGTGTGAGTGTGAGATCTGGACCATCCAATCTAGTTTAATTCAAAATATTCTATATGTCACACTTCATAAGCTGATTTTTACAGTAGTTCTAGTTTGACCTTCGGCCAATGACAACTTATACAGAATTTTGATATGTACAGATCCATGACTGTGACTGCCTATCAAAGTTGTCATATGTCACATGTCACCTTATCACTTCCGCTTATATCATTCTCCATACAGACACCGACAAAAATGTAGTGCGTAGAGTCTTGATTTTAATTTTAAACTGTTTGTCCCTGTTTCAGTGTGTTGTTTGTGCAATTTTATGTTAGTTTCAATGTTTTTTAAATTCTACGTTTGCTGGATAGTCCCTATTTGACGAAGTAAGTCTAAAACGTCAATCACAAAAAACCTTTTTTTCATCCATTAACTTCGAGTTTTATCGAAGTTAACTAATTTCTTTCTTCTAAAAAACGTTTTCTTGCTTATTTCAGATGCCCCTGAAGATGCTATTCTAGCGAAAGTACTTGGGCCTGATTTAGTTAAACTTGTGCTCGATAATAGCCTTAAAATTTTTTGAAGTTCAATATATAGGAGTCAAAGGTATATAAATTCTCCTACTTGTCATAGTTTTTCACAAGCATTCGTTATCCCTAACCATTCCTGTTTCTTCCAACCACATACACTCTGTTTTTGACCTACTAACCTTAATCCCTCCGTCTTCAATAGCCGTTCTCCAACCTTCCCCCTTCTCTTCCAACATTTCTTTGCTCTCCTCTAACACGATATCATCCGCAAAGAGCATTGACCAAGAAGCTCCATCCCTCACCTTCTCTGCCAGTACATCCATAACCAAGAGACTCAGTGAAGAGCCTTTACTGGAAAACTTTCGGTCAATCAGACAAAAGTCCTTATTTTGGTGTATGCTCCCTCATACATATCCTTCACGAGCATTATGTACTTCTCAGGAACACATTTCTCCCTCATATATCTTCATAGCTCTTGTCTAGGAACTGTGTCGTAAAATTCTAAAGATCTATAAATACCAAACGTAGGTTACTTTTCTTCTTGTCATATTTCTTTAGATATGATATCGTATTATATAAATACAGAAATGATCACCTTTTAATAAATTTGGTTCTTTTTATGACTTAATGTTCAAATTTCCTCAGTGTGGATTCCTGTAACAGTCTGACATAATTCACTTTCATTTTCTAATCAGAAGTAGTAGGTAAAATCTATTGCGTTAATTATTATTTGATTGTAGCAACGTTTATGTGACATTCCAATAAGATATTGAATAATACTTGTAAACATTTCACAATTATTCTAATTATCTGAAAAATATTTAGTTGTTTAAGATCAATGAAGCAGAAAACGGACACAGAATTTTGTTATATCACACCAATCAAAAATCGAATCAGAGATGGTCTAAAATCAGATTTGCCGATATTACAAAGTAAAGAAAATAGTTTAGAAAATGTACATAAAGATGAAGCGTTGATAGTAAATATAGATAAACAGGTGGACGACATACTAAGCGAACATCCCCAACATAGACAATACGTTAAAATGGAAAGAATGAAATTAAGTTTGTTAAAAGCAAAACATGTGGTAAGTTTTTATATAGGTAATGGTGATTGTTTAATTCTCATAAAGATTGTTTTCTATTTGTTTAGAATGGATTACATTTTTCGTTTTCTAGTAATTTGTTTATATTGATTAGTTGTCGTTAATATATCGTTTATATTTATTAATTATCATATATCAGACAAAAATTCGAAGAATCTTTTTCACCATACTGTAAAATCATCTTTTAATAGCTTAGCATTAGCGTAGTGTATACTGGAACATTCTTTTTAGCATTTTCTATGGCACTGCGCATGGAATATACTTCCATATAAGAATGCTCAGATTCTAAAAAATTATGCTGTACAATATTTAAATTGCTGTTTTGTACGATAAATAGAAATAATGCTGCTGATTACTGATTTCTTTTTTGACCGCTACAGGCATCAGAGAACAAAGTTATTTCGGTAATATTTTGTGGCAGAGATTTTATGAACTTAAGCAGACATGTACCTATTTCTGAAATGCGCCTTTGACCATTAATTTTAGTCTATGCGTAGCCTGGCTTTCTACTGTAATACATTGATGAGACATCTTAAAAAGATATTTTTCTTCTAAATGCAGCTTTTGTCTTCAAGTAGTTCGTGTACGTTAGGCACTGATCCTTTTTAGGTGTAAAAAAGGACAAATTAAAGTTGGTACCAAAAATGCGGCGGTAAGTTATTTGAGATGCATATTTCTTTTCCGTTTCCTTGCAATCTTTAACATATAGTTCGTACATTTTTGCGATAGATAAATTAGAATTTAAATATTTTCGTTTAGTTGATGACCTACAGTAGTGAGATGCCATGGTTGGAAAACTTTGTATATGAGCTTTGATTGAGGCTATAATATCAGGTTTGGTTTTATTAGCCGGTTCATTTTTGCCACGTTTGTGGTTAGCTGCAAATATTCCTATGCCATTTACTCCAGAAAATGACTTCTACTGAGCACCTGTTCCAGAACGAACTCTTCTACAAGTAGGCTCTTTGCTGGCAACACAACTGAGAATATAATCATTTTGGCGATTATAGTCTAATCTCCAAAATTCCGAGCATAACGGATTAATGCAATAATGATTTCTGAAATCTTCATTAAAACTAAGGGAGCATTTTAATTTACAAGAGTTGCAATGAATCAATTTTGGTTTTTTTTTGCTGCAATGACGGTTCCTTTGGATTTGTAAGGCAAATTTGACATTCTATTTTTCGTCTTAATATTATTTTTCCATTGGGAAGGATTCGCTCTTCTCTAAAGACACTCTTGTTTAAAAAAGAGTACTTCACTATCAGTTGATTCAACATTTGATAAACCTTTCATCACTACTCGGCAGAATGAACATGAGTTTTAATAACAGGTTTTAATAACATGAGTTGTTATCAACATGTCCTCGAAGACACTTCGTCTCAGGACCATTTTACCTATGTAGGGTCATACGTCGCCATGTTACCAATTCCAACGGTAACTTAAACATCATAATCTGTAACCATATATAATGTAAAACAACTGTAAATTTATAACATTTAAAGGGTTTTGACCCATATATTTTGGTGGCTCATAACATGTATACCTTGTTTACACTGATGATGGATTTAACAATCCGAAAACGTTTTTTAATGTAATTGTGATAGCCCGTTTGGGCATTTTATTATATACCTTTTATAAAGGATTTGAAATAAATTTTTACTAATGGAAAGTACTAGAATAATTATTTCTTTAAGAAACATTTCTATCAGATAGATAACTGAGTATCAAAAAATGAAACGAAATCTTGTTTATTTAGATGACACTTGGTGTGATAATCATGACAGGACAGAGAATTACAATTTTACACTGCGGTTGATAAAATAGATGGATCGATGATGTATTATTAATATCTGAAAAAAAATTAAGACGCGTCTTTAGATTATTATGAGGATATGAAAAGTTTAATTTTTAAATCATGGTTTGAAGAATCTCTTCTTCGAGATTACCTAAATATAGTGTGATTATCATGGACAACGTATTATATCATTCAAGATTAATGAGAAAATTCCAAATATTACTTGAAACAAATTGCAAATCCAAGAATTTTTATTAAGGGAGATTTGTACTCTGAGCCATCATATAGTAAAAAGCAATTGTTGGAGGTTGTTTATAGTAGACAGTACCAGAAGGAATATGTTGTTGATAACTGTACTTGCAGTAATGGGCATACCGTGCTTGGACTTCCTCCTTAGAAGAAGAAGAAACGTGGCTCCTAAATTGTGTCTACTGCTCTTCAGTTAATTAGAAGAGAAGTCACAAAGATCACAGCAACCAACTGGAAAAATGTAATCAAACATGTAATCGCACTGGAAAATGACTATGTTAAATATTTACCAGCAATAACCAAATTAACTATAAATTTAGAAGATACAACTGATACTAGTGATAACAGTGATTCTGAGTAGATTAGTAAGTTCTTATTTCCAACTAGGTGTTAGTTGAAACCTTTATTTTTATTGTAATTGTAGATATTCTCGTTTTGCTTATATGTCTTTGAAAATAGAGTACAAATACATTTCATGATAGAACAAAAACGTACAACATATCGTTAGGTTAAAATGACAGGGTTCCAACTAACAAAATCGCATATTTGGAGTTATTAGTGTGAAAAGGTTTCAACTGATCTTCCCCATCTTTTGATTTGACAACAGCGCTGGCTAACAACGCAATTCTGACTCATTACAATGCCAAGGTTCCATCTGTGAACATAAATAAAACAAAACTAAATGACATGGTTTCAGGTGACACATGAAACCTTGTCACTCAACCAATAATTAAGATTTGTAGTTGTGTTATTAAAACGTTTGTATACTAAAATACTTTTACATAAAAAATTTGTTTAATTGTATGTGATAATTACTTTTATTAATAATTTTTTATAGGTATTATTATTTTGCAATAAGTTCTGTTTAGTCGAGTCTATTAGTGTTATCATTCCCTAGATATATCACAGAAGTTAACAACACCAATATTTTTTTATTTAAACTTTTATTTAAATTAAAATTAGATATCTACGCTGCTTTCAATAAAGTAGTGACCAGTATAACATTGTTGCCATTTTCTAGGATTTTACTCGCTCTGGTTCCTATAAATTTTCTCACGAAATTACGTGTCGACTGTACCTGAGAGTGTCACGAAAAAGGGTTTTTAGTTGCTAATTTCTTGGAACTAACAGCCAAAAACTGTTATTCAATTTTAACGGCCTGGATTAGTCGTCACGAGTTTGCTAGAAGAAAACTCCTGGTGTTCATAACAATTTTGAGTTTTAGTGGAGAAATGGATCTCTTTGGATTCAAAAAGTTTTTTTGGATAAAAACGTAATGGCTTCAAAAAAAAGCTTCACAAAAAAAGAATAGATCTGTCAGATGAAATTTGAATTATTTAAAGATTCTTGTTCTTTATTTGTTAAAATTCCATATACCGTAAATTTCTCATTTCTACATTGCACAATAAAGGATATTTGTCGCGTTTTAATTATATAAATTTTATTGTGTGATATAAACTCGTCTATAACTGTTAATACAATAAAATCGGTATCTTTTTTAGATTACACTAGAAAGCAAGCAGTCAGAAGCACTAATCACGGAGCAAAAGGAAAAGAACGAACTTATTGAAAAAATGGCAGGCAGCTTGAAATATTTCTACCAGCTTTTACAAGGTCACGGTGTTGCCTCATCCAATATTACAAAACAATACCAAGAAATTAGTCAAAGTCTCTTAGGGCGTAAACATGTAACATGGGGAACCCTTCCAGATTCTGGCATCAGTTCCGAAGCAAGTATAGCAGTATCAGATGTAGAAGAAATACAAGAGAATAAAAGAAAAACTGAAGATGAAGCTAATCAAACATTTTCCATGCCTAGTAAACCAACGAAGACTCCTGAGCTGTATCGTGTTAAAGGTGGGGTTTATATAAATCCATTTGGTGTTATTGCTTTTGAAATTCTGTTCAGTTTTCTATGCAATGCAATAAATAGCAAAAGACATACAAAGTAGATGGTTTTATGGTTTTTTATCGTTACTTTTGTTTTCGTATATATGCAAAAAACCAGATATTTAAAATAGATTTATAGACAGTTTATAAAATAGACTTTTTATAGAATACTGTGTCTCTTGGCTAGTCTATTTGAGTTATGTAGGCTCTCCCAACCAAGAGTAAGAATGAACCAAAATTTTTAAATCCCATTGAATCAGATAAGATGCCCTTGCAATTTAGTCTTTAAACAGTGTTGGAGAAAGGTTTACTTCAACTTCTAATTTGGGCTTATGGGTGGAAGAAAAAAATGTGTTCCTTATGTTTAGTTTGAGACACCCTGTAGGAAGAACAAGGTACAAGTTTACATCGAAACCATGTAGTAGTCTCATGTTTTGTGAACATCACGTTTTTTTTTTAATTTCTCTGATATCTTTTAATACAAAGAAAATAGGGTTTTATTCTTTAACATGTGTTTTAACTGAAACAATACTAAATTAACAATAAAAAATAACAACAGTTAACAAAACTTTGAAAATAGACAGAAACAACGTAAACTAATATCCACTGTTTCCCTCTATACTTTTGATAACAGCTTCACATCGTCTAAGCTTGCTGGATATTAAGCGGTCTATTTGATTTTGGTCTATGGAGTTTCAGATATCAATAAACATAGTTTTTATATCTTACAGGAAAGCTGGAAGGGGCTGACGAAGTCTTAATTGTCTAACGACAATATCTGTTTCTTTATGAAACATAATGACAATTATCTGTTCAATTAAACAAGTGTTTAATTGAATTCATGTCGGTACTGTGAGTAGATCGATTCAATGTCTGAATATTTCTTCTTCTCGTCCCATATCAGAATTATCCGACGTTGGCGATCACCATTGCGAAAGCTTCTCGATCTTCTGCAATATGGAATAATTGTCCTGCATTTGATATCTGACTCCATCCACGAATGTTTTTTAAGCAAGAAACATGTTTTCTTCCTACACCTCTACGGTCTCTATTTTGCCTTTAAGGATCAGTTGTAATATTTTATATCGACTTCCCCTTACCATATTTCCCAGATAAGACATTTTTCGATGTTTAACAGTCTTTAGCAGTTCTCTATATTTGTTGACGCTCCTTAGTACTTCTTCATTAATTTTCCTTGCTGTCCAAGTTATCTTTAGCATTCGTCTATGAACCCACATTTCCAGTGCTTCAATTTTGTTCATGATCGATACTTGTAGCATTAATTAATCGATATCTTGAGCATTTTCTGTCATTGTGTTGAGGTATTGCGACAAAGATGGATTTGAGCCAATCTGTGGGAATCACTCCGGTGTTATATATTTAATTAAAAAGTCTTACTCCTACTTTTATGTTATCATCCTCTATTAGTTTTAGCAACTCAGTTGGTGTATCATCTGGTCCACAAGTTTTTCTTAATTTTAGCATTTATAGCGTGTTCTACCTCGCATTTCATAATTTCTGGGTCGTCAGTACAGTTTTGGTAGAATTCGGTTCTTCCAAGCAGATCTCCGGAAAATGAACATTCCATTTGACCCTAGGGTGATGGAAGACCGAACAAATTGGAAAAAAGTTGTACAGTCAGCCAAGACCCACCCAGGGTTGTAGCGCTACGTGATGATGATGAATTTGTTCATACAAAACATTTCAATTAACTACCTTGTAATATACTGGTTTTTAAATTCTAGTTCTTTAGATATATACATATTATGTTAACAGTGATTTCAAGATTCAGAATTACAAGAAGAAAGAGCGTCTCCAAAATTCAGGTTTTAATACAGTTATAATCTTATTTATAGTAACCTTTTTATATTGTAGGTCCTAATATAAATTTCTCCCGACCGGTGGTGAGAAAAATGGCAGTAAAGAACACTAATAATAAGGAGAACGTTTATCGAAAACCCTTTGATTCGACAAAGACCTCCTCCCTTACAGCTAAATCAGTAGTAAATTCTGGATTGAAAAGTAAGTATTATAATTATCATAATTTCCAGTTCTAATTTATATTTTTTAACCCAATATATTCTTTTATATTTGATTATGATGTGTCCCATTGTATTGTAACGTAAATCGAACCTGGATGGGACGAAAAGGAGACCAGAAATTGGGTATTACTGTGGGCAACATCTGGGTCATATAACACGTGGTGACAGATATAAATTCCTAAAACTAATAATGCAGGGAAAGATTCAAGGAAAGCGTAGCATAGTTAGAAGAAGAATGTTCTGGCTGAGAAACCTCAGAGAATGGTTTGGATGCAGCTTAACTGAACTCTTTTAGGCTGTAGTTTCAAAAGTTAGAATAGCAGTGATGATTGCAAACTTCGTCGCGGAGATGGCACGTAAAGAAGAAGTGGAACAACATAAAAATTAGCTCAAGGGAAAGTTAAGTCTTGAAATATAAGTTAAACGAAGAATTCCAGGTCGCTGGAATATCGTGTCGGTCATACTACGCAAACGGCGCTCAGGTGTTTTGAAGGACATTCCAACTAGCTTTGGGACGTGTTTCTTCTTCTTCACGTGCTATCTCCGCGACGGAGGTTGCAATCATCATGGCTATTTGATCTTAGATCGTGTGCATCTGAATAGTCAATTATAGTGCATCCGTACCATTCCCTCAAGTTACGCAACATGAGATTCTTCTTCTTCCTACACTTCTCTTGTGTTTATTACAAAATTACAATTAAATAAAATGATAAAAGGGCGCCACCTTTATGGACGCCTTTATTTAATAACAAAAAACAATCACACTTACCTTATATGGTCGTTCATTAATCTAACTGTATTTATTATTAGTAGAAACATACATTTAAATAAACATATTAATTTACATCTTACAAACAGAAATATACGTTACATCTTTATAAAAAGTAAAACTTCTACTCATTTCTTGAATGACCTGGTAAAATATTTGTGTTAAATATAGTCTCAATAAGGAAAGTTAATTGAGTGGCTCAGAACCAGAGGTGACTATACAACATATTCACTCTTTTGAGATAATTGAGGGTAAAGTTAATCGGTTATATAAATTTCTAAATAAAGTAACATAACTATATTTTGGAGTTTTTGTGTAGGAGAAACTAAAATAATTTATTCAGGTAGAATAAAGCAAAAAAAAATTATTTCAAAATTAGCTTTATAAAGAAAAAAGGAAAAAAAAATGTTGTATATGCGTTTTTCGCACTAACAAAACTGAAAAATATTTTGAACCGGAAAAAAAATTATTACTCCTCTTCCTCTTGAATCTGTGCTAGACCTGTGTCCATCTCATTGGTACACTCGAGAGTTTTAAAATAGTCGTGGTGGATAGGAGGCACGTACTTTAACTATGATATTAGATCTTTCTTTTTCTCTACTGTTATCTCTCTTTCTTCGGGAAATAATAAATCTAACTACATGTATGGATTTGTTGAAGGACGGCCACGTATCTTTTTCGTGAAGTCTACTTCAGAAAAATAACTATCAGTGTTATAGTTATATTTAAAATACATTTTTCTCGGCTCAGATTGTCGTAACTGAATCCAGGATATTTTTAGCCATTCTACTGTTTCTCCTGTAATTGCTTTCTTTCTATTTACAATGTCGTACTCCAATTTTTTGATACTGAAAAAATCATTTTTTTCCATTTTATGAGTACAAAATTTAGGTTCCTTTTTCTTTGAGATGTTTATTACTTTTATCCAGTCGTCTGGCACAAATATATTTTCGTGATATTGTTTTCCTTGTCAATGACACCAAAATTTTGATCACAAGTTGAAAAATTGTGTCCAGACACAAAAAATTTTAGATTTATTTCCTTTGCATTTCATTAAGAAGACCTAAAACGACTTTTATATTCCTATTCTGCCCACCACAACTATCAGAATATTAATTTAGGATGGATGTTGTTTAAGGCAAAAAGGAAATATACTTGATCAAACATGACAAAATCTCTTGAGCACCACGCGAAGCAACACCTTCGTTCCATACAAACATATTCCTAATGTTTTCAACTTCATTATGTACACACAAATTGAAAACCCACATCTGTCGTTTGTAATAAGCTACAGATGTAGATAGAACTGGCACTGGCAAGGTTCTCTGTAGATCAAAAACTGCAACATGTTTTTCTTCTTTTTCTTTTTTTGCTGCTTCAGTTTCTTCTTTAATTGCTTCACAACTTCTGCTTTTTTTGTGTAGGTTCCTTTCCACTTCAATCTTAGTTTTCTCTTCTCCTTCATTTAACTGTTTTGAGCAGTTTTAAAACAGTCGCATTTTTGACATGTGGCCTGTGAAACGATAGATTAAAAGAAGAATTAAAAGTATATCTAAAGACAAAAAGAGACAATGGTTTCTTTTCCACAACTTCACAAGATTTTTTATATTCATTATACATTAAGGACATGTTTAAATTTGGAGGCAAATATTTTTTAAATTTGATGGTATACAAGGCAAATATCGAACACAGTAATTAATTAAATCTTGCCCAAGTACTTTCGATCAATAGATCATCCTCAGGGGCATTTCGTCAGTTGTGGTCTATCCGACATGAGCAGAATGTCATACATGTAAATTTGGACAAAACAATACAATACACAAAGACAAACAAACACTTTAAAACTTTTAAAAATGGAGAAGCTACATGTTATATAGAAGCCGGAGACATTTTGTGTAATCAGGTATTTCTGTGTTGCTTTGTCATCTTGCTCTATCAACAGGTTTGTTTTATGTTGGTTTATCTCGTGTATTATTCTCTTTTTTCTCTAATTGTTCAATTGCTATCTTTGTGTCTGCTTGACAGATCATTTTCCTATGCTATTAGTTGAAGCCGAATTGTGAAAATGGATTTGTTCACGAAGTTTACCTTTCTTACCATTGCTTCTAGAATCAGGTTAAATAGTGTCGGTGAGATATAATGTCCTTTTTTTCAGGCCATTTTCACGCAAGAAAACTAAAAAATATCACTGTATAAAAGTTGTCAGATTGGATACAATAAAAAAAATTAGTCTACATGTAGATAGTTATAAAATATAGTATTTTAGTATTTTTTTATTAGTCACAATTTACATTTCTGACATGTGATATTTTTTAGGTGCCGTAACCTCGCGACCCAAGACTATAATTAACCATCCCAGGTTTAAAAGGTATAGTATTCTTGTTTTGTAGTGTAGTTATTTGTGTTTGTAGTGATTAGGATTCGGAGAAGCAAGAAGTTGACTATAACTTCTAATTTTCTACGTTTTGATAATTGTTTCGAAAAATTTAGATGTAGAATAGCTTCTAGATAATATGGTCCGGAAAACTATTTTCTTGTGAGATTTTGGAAGCATTCTTATCGCGGACTATGGACAGAGCTGTGGATTGCGTAGAGATATGATAAAATAAAAACGACTGAAACGCAACGAAACGACTGTATCGACAAATTGGGCGACTACACACTACGTGGAGTAGTAAACGCAGTCCCATGCGTGTTTCTTAACAAAATAAATTAATATAAAATGAATTAAATTGAAAATCATCGCTCCATGCGTAGACGATAAGAAAGCTATGCTTTTCCTCCTCGGTCACTTCCGGAGTGTCATATCTCGATTTTATATTAACTATTGTGTAGGCTGAACTATAAACATAAACTAAGATTAAGTTATTTGGACCAAAATATTACTCAATAAAATGTTGCTTTATATTTCTAAAATGTTATCAAAACCGGCCCTGAGACCTAACCTTATTTATGGAAGTGAGTACTTCTTATCTCTCGGTATGATGTTTTTGCACGGGCCCGAAATAATATTTAGCGTGAAATTCATAATAATAAAATATAATGATAATAAATACAAGATAATAATGAAAATGTAAATGATAAATAAATTCTATATTATTTTTAACAATATTTGAAAATAACTAAATGCATTTAACAAAATTTTTAAAGATAAAGATTAAGATTTTTTAAATTGTAAAGAACTTAAATGTGTGGTCTTATTATAAAAAATAATTAACAATTCAGTAATAAGATAATATATTATATTCCACCCATATATAGTAATAACGCGCTAGAAAGTTGTCCTTTTAGTTTTGCATACAGCCATAAATACAAAAAATATATGGACTTGGATATGGAATATTGGACTATGGAAAACAGTGCATCTCTCGTACCTACGCCTTTCATGAATCCAAACTGTGTGTCTTGTATTCTATCTTCGCATAGCTTGTATATTCTGCAATGTATAATTTTAAGAAAAAGTTTTAGTGTATGGCTCATTAGACTTATTAGCCTATATTCTCCGCACTTTTTCGCTCCCTGTTTCTTTGGTAACGTAATAAATTCTGAACGAAAATTTTGTTCCCACTTAAGATAATACACGGCGACCAAAACCTAGAAGACAAGCAAGACTTGCAGACAGTGGACACTCCGAAGTACAACTTCAATAGTTTTATAAATGATACAGTACTAAACAGCTATACCAACGACGACTGGATGAAAAACTACGAGAAATAGAGAGACAAACATTTTCAGATATTTACGAGAATATTATTGCTAGTTTACACCAGGCCTCTAAGGAGACATTCGGGACACAGCAAAACAAAATTAGTAACAAAATATGGTGGAACGAAGAAATCGAATATATGGTAAAACAGAAAAAAGAACAGCATCTAAAATGGCTAAATACAAAAAATACTAAAAGACCATCAAGCTTACAAAGAAACCGATAGACAACTACGAAAAATGATAAAACAAGAAAAGAATAAAACATGGGATCAGAAATGTCAAGAAATCAATACATACATCGGAGGGAAGCAATGTTCAGAGGTATGGAATTTTATACAATCAGTAAAAAATACAGGAAAAGACAAAGCACACATACACACCATAAAACCAAGAAAATGGAAAGATCACTATGAAAGCTTGCTGACAGAGACAAGACAAGAATACCTAGCGAACTCCCCAACACAGTTAGTACATATACAGGAGAGGAAGCGAGGGTAGACATCGAAACAGTAAGAAGGCTGTAATGACCCTAAAGAATGGTAAATCCGCTGGATCTGAGGGAATCTATGCTTAATTGCTTAAGGTCCGCTTGCTATTATGCTAATTTCAGTACTGATTTCAGTGCTAAAAATTAGTTAGTTGCGCGAGTCAATTTAGTATGAAAAATGTATGTTGGTGTTTGCAACTATCTTGATTTTAATTAGCCTGTAGGCATGCGCTCTACCAATTTTGTATTGACAGTCTAACCTATCTGAAGTTTGTTTTTGTTTTATAGTTTTATGATTAGAGTAAACAAAACAAACAGGAGTTTGTACAATTTCGCCTTTATTTCTTCCAAAGCTTTTACTCTCCCATTCCTATTTTTGTATAATGGATGTTTTGGCACATATAAACAAGGATTTGCTTTATATAGTTCGATTAAATTTTCTATTTGCTTTTGACTCCACAGATTTAAAAACAAAACATAAACATAGGTAACATAACCTTAGTTTTAGTTAATATTGGATCATTGTTAGTACAAGAAATTAGAACATGTTCTAATTTTTAGTACTGAATCGGCGCGCTAGCCTAATTTGTAGATACAATATTTTTAGTGCTAAATTCAGTAAATTCAGTACTGAATTTAGCATAATGGCAAGCGGACCTAAGAATAGAACTCATAAACTATTTGAAAACTTAACTTATGTGATCAATCAGTGTCTAAATGGACACCCAGTACCAGAACAATGGAGAACGGCATACATGTCCTCAATACACAAAAAGGGGGACAAAAGGAATTGTAATAATTATAGAGGCATATCGGTAACCAGCACCCGATCGAGGAAGATGAGAGAATATAAGCACAATGAAGAGGAAGAACAAAGCGGGTTCCGTGCAGGAAGATCGTGCACCGATAACGTATTTTGTCTTAAACAAATAATAGAAAAAAGATCGGCTAAGAATCTAGAAACTCATATTACTTTTGTATACATTCAAAAAGCATATGACAACATCCCCTTAACAAAATTGTGGACAACGTTGAAAAGATCTAACATCAACCACACATTGATAAATGCTGTACAAAAACTATATAGAGACACAGATAAAACCAGGAAAATATCTAACCTAACGGAAGAATTCCTGGTTACAAAAAGCTTGCGACAGGGATGCTGTATCTCACCAACCTTATTCAAGATATATGTTGCAGCAGCATTGGAAAGATGGAAAATAAAGGTGCATAGGATGGGTATAGAGCTTAGCAATGAATGTATATATACACTCCAGTTTGCTAATGACCAGGTAGTACTAGCGACTGACAGAGAAGACATGCAGTACATGCTTAGAAAACTGATAGAATAATATAACGACTGGGGAATGAATGTCAATACAACAAAAACCAAATATCTTTGTATTGGAAACGAGTCAGATAACATAGACCTCGAAAACGGACAACATATTTCCGGCTGTCAGAGCTATGACTACTTGGGTGTTGCCTTTGACAGTACAGGAACTGATACACGGGAAATAGAAAAACGAATCACACAAGCAAAGAAAATCTTAGGATGTCTCAATGGTATACTGTGGAGTAAAGAAATAACGAAAGGAAGAAAATTTAATATATATATGAGACCATGATTAAAACTACTCTTCTTTATGGCGCTGAAACATGGAGAATTAGTGAAAAGAACAAAAAGCGAATAGAAACAGTAGAGATGGATGCAATGAGAAGATCTTTAGGTATTTCTAGACGAGGCCGACTCAGAAATGATGTAATAAAACAACGTATGGGAATAGAAGGAAATATAACCGAAGATATAGAAAAGAAACAATTAAGGTGGTATGGGCATGTTCAACGGATGCCAGCAACAAGACTCCCCAAAAAAGTATTAGAATGGCAACCGATAGGTCGACGGAAAAGAGGAAGACCCAGATTAGAATGGCAACACGGCGTAAACAGGTCCATGAGCGAAAGAAATTTAACAACAAACGACTGCGAGGATAAGAAGAGATGGTGTTTAGGTATCGGACAACGTCGAAAGACGTTCTAAACCGATGTATATATATATATATATATATATATATATATATATATATTATATATATATATATATATATATATATATATATATATATATATATATAATAAATTCTGAAACTAGCAATCTCTTGGAATATTGCCTGTCTCATATGTAATTTTTTCAGGTATTATTAATACTTTCTTTGTCCACGATGACCTTCTCCGTTGTCATTAATAAGTTTACTTACTCTTGTGTTTTATACATTTGCCTGTAATTTCTCTTACCTTTTTATGCACGTTGAAGTCGTCGTATTTACTTTGTATAATTTCGATTTCTTGGCATTTTTTCTCCAGTTCTTTCTGTTTGACTTCTCTGATCTTTCTCTGTATATCTAGTTGTAATGTTTTATACATAGAGTTGGCTAATACAAATAAATATAATTTAAAAAGAAAAAAATAAAGGGAGAATTTAACAATAATAATACTTTCAGTACCGGTAACCAATCAATTAATTACTGATAGCACACATTATATCTATTAATTTGTTGAAACTAATATTAAAAATACCAATATAGGAATTGCAGTTGATAATTCCATATTGTGCTAATGGTTCGTTTTTACCATAATTTGCAATATGAAAACTTGTATAAAATTTATTTGTACCTCGTAAGCTGCTAAAAAGAGCAGACAGACTAATATTCTGTAGAATATAGGGACAGCTAATTCGTCCATTAGTCAACTTAAATATTAAACATCATACATCGTCGAGGTAGGAAACATGGGTAAGGAGCTTGTCTTCCTGCGCTCTGAGTTTGTCTTTCGCCACCACTTCCTAAAAGGCTCCAATAGACCGAAATATCTTCTAGTGTAGCCTGAACAAAAAAAAAAAAAGAGCACACCTTTGCCGGTGCCGTAGTACGCCGAACTCAAAGATAATTACAGAAATTTGTTTCTTTAAGGCTTGTGGATATTTCATACTTTCCTATAGGTTTCAGGTCAGAAGAAAAAAAAAGGTTTTGACCTGAAATTCCAAACATCAAATAATTTTCTGATATTTTTATTATTCTTTCTTGTTTTTATTTCTCTCTTGTTTTCTAGTCTTTATTGACAACAATACTTTATAGTCTTGAAAACATTTACTTTATCACACATTTATTTTTAATTGTAGGGCTTGTTTAATTTTTATCAGTACTTATATTTCTTCGTGACAACTTACTGTTTTTTTTTCTGAGTATAGCGACTTGGCTTGTTTAGTGGGCATGTTTATATTTTATATATATATATATATATATATATATATATATATATATAATATTTATTACATAGCACCATACATAATTCAATTACTGTATTTAGTGTTTATTGTTTCAGGTAATAAAAAACACTAGGAAATTTGTGCCAAGTTCCAAATTCTTGCAATAACTCTTATTTTTATAACATATTATATAATTTTTATAACAATTTCTGTAAAATAAATTTGTATTGACCTTTGTAATGTAGCATATTTATTAAATGTTTCCCTAACCAAAATTATTTAAAAAGTTAATAAAAATTCGGCTTAATGGCTCAACGGGTTGATGGACTTTGTTTGAGATATGAGTAATTGAGAGCCACACTCCAGCCAGAAATTTTTCATATACAGCTGTACAAAATCCAAAGTGGTCTGTAGCTTTAAATTGAAATTCGCGTGAATACAGACGGCCGATGGATTTTTTTTAACATCCCATTTACTTACAATCTGTAATAATTCCAATAAGTAAATTGTTTAACTAAATTGCAGGAGACTGTCCAGTGACAATAGCCCATTAAAACATAATTTTAGTTAAAAAATTATTTGATTCCAATAAATATGTATAAATTAAAAAATTTTTGAAAATTTAAAATCTTGTTGGTAGATCGCTTGGAGTGAGGTAGCGCTTTACCGTTCTGGCTGTGCCTTAGGCCTCAGAAGGTTCTTCGCTAGCCTGTTGGTGTGGCTTTGCAGTCATCTGTCGTATTTTTGGGAGTAACTGACAATTTCTTCTTTGTCAGTCCTCGTTTGAAGATCACCTCATCTTGGTGCTACAGCCCTTAGAGGGCCTCGACCTTCTCAAGCTTTCTACGCCTTTCTGTTCTGTCCCTTGCTTGCATTTTCCCGTTACGACTCCGATCTTCTCCGCATCTTGTGTTACCCCATGCATCCACCTCAGCTTTGGTCTACCCCGTCTTCTCATTCCCACGGGATGCGCTGTTAGAATCTTTTTTATCATGTTCGATTCAGGGGCCCGGGCTACATGTCCTGCCCACTGCAGGCGGTTTTGCTTAATTATAGTGGTAATATCTTTACCAGCAAACGTATGCTTGTAGATATTCTGCAGTTCAAAGTTATATCTACGCCTCCATATTCCGTTCTCACAGACCGCTCTGAATATCTTGCGTAACACCTTTCTTTCAAAAATCATCGTTTGAAGATCGCGATTAATGTATTCATTGGCCATTTATGATGGTGCATTTGTGATAATACGGAAGGTCTTCGTTGCAATCTCTCGAGGATGTTGATAATGGATCTCGATGCAGATCCCCACAGTTGGATTCCACAACTCAATATTGGATCACTGACTTGTATACTAGAATTTTATTGTACAAAATCAGTTGTGACCTTTTTATTATTAGTCAGTACATTTGACTGAGTTTCAGACGCAACTGTTTTCTTTTCGTGAATATGTGTTTCTTCCACTTTAATCTGCGGTCCAAGTGCATACCTAGGTATTTTCCATTTGTAGTACTTGGTTATTTAATGAGACGATTCGGCATGTATCTTTTCGATTAGTGAACGTTGTATGTACTGACTTTCTTTCTTGTGACACCCAAGGAAATTTTCAATTTAAAATCGGAGAATAAAAGAAAATATAGAACAGAATAGAAGTAGAATGCTCAATTACAAAAAAGATGGAAAACAGAGCCCTACACTGGTGCGTACATGTACAAAGAATGCTATTCTTTGTTTCAAGTTAAGAAAATAACATTACGCTTATGGAGATCAGTGTTGCCAAAACTCTCAGACACTCTCTTTTGCACGGATGTCCAAGATATTCCCTTTGCTTAATTTTTGAATTTTCATTTTCAATTAACTCTTAACTATAAAGTTAGAATAACTACGAAATAAAAGCCTTATTATCATTATGTAGTCAGAGAACGACATAAAATAGCTGACATACGCACATCGTATTATTTTAAGTTGCAATTAGTAATTAGATATACGCATTCCAAGCGGTCAATATTTTCTACTGATTTCTATGATTCATGGCATATCGTATTCTCACCGAAAAACAAATAAACTGTCGTTACTATAATTAAAATAAGATAAAATAAAATTATCTTTTGTAATTACTATTTATCTAATTAAAATCATTTTCCCTACTTTTCATCTCTTGTTTCGAATGGGCACTTTTGGTCAATTACTTTAAAAAACATTAATTTAATTCATGTTTGTGGAAACAAAAATACAAATTATACAACCCTAAATTGTGCTTGTGTGTGTCGTGGCAACGCCGCGTTGCTATCGTCCATAAGAAATACATGGCCCTATCTCCGCAATGTTATTTTCTAAACGTGGAACGTAGTATAGAGCACAGCTGGCCGAAAAGAATATTGGACTGGGACCCACCGAAGAAGAAGACCTGCTACAAGATGGAAAACATACATAGACAATGCTAGGAGATATAGATATCTCAGAGAAGGTGACTGGGAAAATCGAGTGCTGTGGAGGACGAAAACGGCGAACTCATAATAGGAAAAAGCCGAAGAAGAAATCGGAAAAAACGAAAGCAAAAATTTACGCGTATATAAATACGGAAAGATGGAGAAAACAAACAGATGATGGGAATAATCTATAATGATTTTAAAATAACATTGCACAGAGAATAAGATATAAAAAAATAAAACTAAAACAATTAAGGACACTAATAATTTTAACATATCTGACAACAATTTTCTGCCAAAACAGTAATCAAATTCAACTTATCAAATAAATTTGATAATTGCAAGTTCCATTCATTGTCATACAACTATCTCTTTAATAAAAAATTGCAATAAATTAACACACATTTCTAATTTATATGATAGATAGATAGAATTTATTCATCCACAAAGTTTACACAATTTTTACAAGAAAAAAAAATGTATAAATCTTATCAGACTAGTCAAAAATTTTGGTACAAAAGAGTACAATAGATAGCAAAAGTACATGATTAAAATAAAAACAGTTATTACAATAAAATAAATAAAAAATAAAAGTTACAAATACAAGTTACAAATACAAATTTAGAACTATTGTTGCAAAAATGTTAAAAATTTAAAAATTCATCAACACTGTAGAATGTGTTGTCCATTAAAATGAATACACAGTTTGGCGAAAACCTTTATGTGAAGAATTACTGAGAGTTAATATATTGACTATTTTATTGTAACCAGTGGCGTGCCGTGACATTAGAAGAAAGGGATGCAAATTAAAGGAAATGATAAAAAGACTTACTAACCTTTTTACTTGTAGTGCAGCTCTATTCTTCTATCAACCTTGGCAAACTCGTTTATCACAGACTCATAAAAACTGGGATTTTCAGACATTTCTTTAATAAGTTCTTTTTCAATTGATAAAATTGCTAAGTTAGCTAGCCTCTCCTCACTTGTGGAATTTCTGACAAAGTTTTTAATACGCTTTAGTACAGAAAAACTTCGTTCTACAGACGCACTTGTGGCAGGTATTGTCATCACTAAGTCACATAATTTTGAAACCTCACTATATGCTTCATCCAGTTCAGTTTGTTTAAGAAATGTCAGCATTTTAGAACTAGTATCAGTTTGTATAGAGTGTTGAGAAGCATACAAAACGCACAGTTGGGAATGCAGGGAAAGAAGGTCAAAAAAGTTTGCATAATGTTTTTTTAGACAACTAAAAGCCTCATCCGGGAAACTACAGTCGGCATATTTATTGAAGTTGCATAACTCCACAAATCTTAACTCACAAAGGTTTTTAAATCTTTCTTTAAGCTGCTGGGAAATATTATCTATTATTTCACAAAAAAGTCGATTATAAGATATTTTTGTGTCGCCTACATCGTCAATTCTAATGCGTTTTCTCTTGGGTTCCATCTCTTCTAGATCGCAAGTTTTTTGCCACATGATATCAAATTGCTCCCTCTGTCTGTTGATTTGGACTTCGAATTCGTTAATTTTTTTAATACAAAATCCGATATCATTTGATTTAGTCTGCAATACATCAAATAAAATGTCTGTATAAGGAAATATTTCAGAAAATACTTGAAGCAAAAAATTAAAATCAAAATCTCGTTTGACTAATTCCAAATAACCTCTTGAGGAATTCACAGTTTCAGGGTCCCAATGGTCTTTATGCTCCAAAATGCTTTCAAATAACTCTATTAGGGATTGCCGATATTGGGAAACTGTTTTTACTAACCTCCCATTGTAATTCCATCTGGTGGGAGCTGCTCGAGGGAACCTTTTCTGAAGAATGACATCTAAAGCATGTGTTCTTTTGGAAGATTTAGAAAAAAAAGCAGCCATTCCACTCAAGGTTTGGAAAAATACCTTGCAAGTCTTATTGAGTGCGACTGATTGCGCTAGAACTAAATTTAGCCTGTGTGCAAAGCAGTGCACAAAAATTGCATTTTGAAACCTCTCCTTAACTTTGGTTTGAAGTCCTCCGAGGTGCCCAGCCATTACGGCAGCTCCATCATAACTTTGAGCGACAAGTTTGGAACCACAGTCCAGTTCCTCAACTATATTACAGACATGTCTATATATACCTTCTGCCGATCTATCTGCAGTTATATCCAAAAATCCCCAAAATCGTTCTTGTATTTCACCATTATTTTTGATGTAACGCAGAACAACCGACAATTGACTCAAATTCACGATATCTGTAGTTTCATCTAGAACAATGGAAATAAATTGTGCTTCTTTTATTTCTTCTTTGATTTTTTGCAGAACAATATCTGCCACAGACTTGATCAAATCGTTTTGTATCCTATTCGAGGTACCTCGAAATACAGTAGATTGATCTAAATGACTTTTTAATAGTTCGTCATATTCAGATAAAAAATTTGCTAAATCCACAAAATTTCCCCTATTTACAGATTCATAATTTTCATTATGCCCTCGGAAACTAAGTTCATGTTCTCCAAGGAAACATGTAATATGAATCAGTCTTTTTAATATTTCACGATTTTTTTTTACTTGCTCATTATGCATGCGGTGACTAACTTTAAGCTGATTATCTAGAGCGTGATCAATTCGGGTTTTCCCAAAAGTCTTTTCTTTTATAACTGCTTCTAAATGCGTTTTACTTAAAATGTGTCGTTTTATAGATTTGTGCAAATTATTTAAATCTGAGTAACCCGTACTATTCCACACGTTTTTATCACTTATATTAAATAATATACACGGAAAACAAAATAATCTTGAGAGAGTTTTACAACCTGTCAACCACTTAAAGGA